ATTCTTTCTTGGGAATAGAGAACATTGCACTAATATGTGCTCTAAGGCAAAGATCGACGGTAATGCAATGAGGCCAGGCCCATTGCCTGCCGGCACAGGTCTTTCTGCCACCAAATTAAACGGGGTCACTTTCAATTCCATTGCCTGCTTCTCGACGACACCTGGAAATATATCCAGAGGAACTGTGTTCTGCTTTGCGTTCAAGCTTTTTGGATTCGAAGTAACGATGAGTGAAGAGAGAATCAGGAACGACCTCACAGATCGGAAATCGAAAAACAAGTTGTTTTAAAGAACTCAATTCGCAGCGATCGTGCAGCCGTTTCTCAGAAAAAGTACTCATGCTGTTCTTCGGACGCACTTAATATCCTTTGTTTAAAGCCGACATTTGTTTTTTATCGACATTATTTGTAAATATGGCAACACATATCATCAAAAGAACTTCCATGGGTTTTTTAAAGGTGTGCATTTTCAAATTCGATAGCCTACCGTCTACTCCGTGAATTGATTTACTCCATACGAATAGTCTTGACATACTCTGGCATCAAAACTTGAGAATATGGGATGAATTTTTGGCCGTTCAAAGACCATAGAGTGATCAAATGCAATAGACGATTACAATGTTCCCACGCTTCGACACAAGGTGCCCGATTTATCAGGTTCTACGGTCTGAAAGACGACACAAGACTGTCGGCGCTGATCAATCCCCTAGGATTTCGACTATTCCGAGAGGACATTCGGTCTGGGTAAACATCAGAGAAAGGATTGAACGCATATTCAACTTATATACTGACCTTTGAAACAAACTGATCTAACAGATCGATGTTTTCCAACTCCCACGCATATATGGTGCCAATTGGTCAACCTTGGAGTGATGGAAGGCTTGGTGAACCCGAGGTGCGGGATCAAAGCAACGACACGTGATGTATTGCAAGGTACCTCAAGCCGGTGAAATAGAGACAATGCATCATTTTATCATAAAATATTACTTAACGTTTCTTAGCAAAGATCGTCTTCGCACGTTGGCATGCCTCTTCCCAATTGCTGCACTGAACTAATTTCACAGCTCCTGGTCTATTTGCAATGTTTTTAAGCATTTGTATGTGTATTTTTCCACCCGATTGTCTTCAACAGGAACCAGTAGGCTGAAAATTGATGGAGGTGAGTGTAGAGACATCCGATTCTGTGGGTGGATTCCCTAGCGATAGTCGTTCGTCATTCACTGCGCCGTATTCTCATCTTACTTGAACACGATAGAATTTAAACAAATAAAACTACTCGAAGTAAGTAGATTTCACGAATGTTTGAGCCATTTGGGAATAAACATCGTAGGAAGTCATCAAAGAAGCTTTCTCCAGCGCGCTGAGCAGTCACCCAACTTTCTATAAACCTTGTTCTTCCATGATAACGAGCATTCCTTTTCAAATATGCGCTACTCTTCGTGAATTTATGACTATGGTCGTTCTTGTGCCTTCGGAGTTTCTTCTCCGGAAATCATAAAAATTCTTTATGATTTCTGATTTACTAGTGCAGTTTACTTCTGCACTTTTAAAATTAATAAATGGAATATCAGATGGAAACTGCTGCGTTGAGGATATTAAAATAAATGGAAATACTGAGTACAAACCTTGACCTATCAGTGAATAGCAAAATAATTTTGAAACCGACCATCATTTAACCTCGGTACTGTAATAGTCAACATGTGCTTATATTGTTGAGCTTACACGGGGTTAATAGAGATGTTTATTGGGACGACATAACGTGTCGACGTCTTCGTCTTCATCAGAGCCAGCGATTCTTATCGATGCTCTATGGTTGTTCCTCTTCTCGATGTAGTGTCTTCGAAGTTGAGTTATCCATTTGCATGAGCTTAATTTCCAAGCATTGTATCGTGTGATTCAGAAAGTAATTAAGGACGTGCTGAGGACAAATTATAGTAGAAAAAATGAAAGCCGTTTTGAAAGAGTAGCTTAAGGAATTCAAAAGTTCCAGTAAATAAATGTCTCACCACCTCCGCTTTTTCCTCGGTTCTGAAATGCAACCCATGAAAGGTTTCCGAGTAATTCTGTACTACCATTGTTTTCAAAGTAGGACATTTCGATAGCGAACCAACCACTCTGGTTATGAGCTCAGTTTTTCTTAGAGTTTTCTCGATCTAGAAGGATGAAGATAAGTACTCGGAGATTCACAGCTATCCTGCGGAAGTCCGGCCCATCTCCGTAGCCTTGCGCCTGTCTTGCTGATCTTTGAATCTATCAGCTTAGAGGAAAAACCTACCCAGCCAGCAATCTATCAGTTAAGTTGAAGTTATGATTGAACAAAAGTGAGAAATTGAAGCTGCAATTTAAACAGGAACAGAAAGAAGAGGAACGACAAAACAATCACTGAAGCTATTGCCTCATGGTCAGTGAAAGAACTTACTGATATTTCCAGAACTGGGAGAGATGTTTTTAGTTTATAGAACATCTTTTTTTGTTGAAAGTACAAGAGACTCGAGTTTGTGCTCTAAAGTGGTATTAACTTTTTCTTAGAACAGTGAAGTTATGAGAAGAGTCAGCCATTAGCAAAATGCTCGAACTGCCGCTGGTCATGCCCTCTCTTTTAACCTGCCATTCTGTTCGACCCAGTGATCTCGAGGTTTTCTCAATGAAAAGTACAAATTTAGCATTTAGTGGTGAAGAAACTGGTAACCATTTTTCTCCACCTTATTTAGAAACTTTGTTCAAGCACTTTCTTTCAACTTGAAAGGAAAAATTTTTGAAATGAAGATCGATCCAGTTTCTGGTCCTATGGCCAAAGAGTGTCCAGTAGAAGTTTCTGCAAGGCTGACTTGCATCAAGAACTGCCACCATATCAACAATAGTAGCAAATGTATTAAGCGTAAAAACAATATTAATAATAATAATGCTGAAATATCCGCAAAGTTTTGATGCCAGCCCAGATCGAACCACGATTTCTCTTTCCGGAGGCTCGCGCACTACACACTGCACCACGAAGCCTCTTGCTCTGCATTCCTCTCACCTTGTTTTCTATATAACGCTTCCATCAGCAATCATCCGTCAACGTGGTTGATCTGGTGAGCCCAAATCGGCAATGAACCCAGTTAAGCTGAGGCTGTAGTCGAAATCACAATGTTAACCTTTCATTTGCTGCCTACTATAGTTTTCACGGTTTCTCAAGTCATATACTTATGTGAAAACTGTAGTAGGCAGCAAATAAAAGATTAGCACTATTAATAATTATAAAAAAAAGCTCTGGAGTACGTGATTCGACCGATATTAAATTGTTAATATGACTCCCACAACGACCACGCTGTACAAAAATAACAAAACAAAACTCGGTGCTAATATTCGTGGCCGGTTTTTTGAGATTATTTTCCACTCCACACTGCTTTTGGTTGATGTCTACAATTTGGTGACTCGGAAGCAGCTGGCATGCCAGACTGGCTAAGGAGACTTGCTGGTGACGCAAGTCACATCGGTAGGTCTGGGTGACGCTACTGACGGCGCTCCATTGTTCCATACCGAAACGTTTCTTCACCCGTATAGAAAAGCTCAGTGCGTTTTGAACAGGCGTCAAAAACTACATGCATCATCGTCCCATATTCAGAAGCTAAATCCATGTCGTCCATGCAGTTTTTTGCTCTCTCTTAAGTGGTTTCTTTATTGAATTTTACAGCTCAATTCCACAGCATCACTAACTCTCTGAAATTTTAAGAACCCGATAGTAGCTTTCTGCTAGCCACTGTCATTACAAATTAAAGTAGTATTATTAAGATCGACCTTCATTTAACTTCGCCATCAATTTTCAATGTACCAGCTTATTGGTAAGCTTATAAAATGCTAAGGCATACTTGTTCTACACGATATTTCCACTACGTCGTTATCTTTAGAGCTAGTATGATTTGTACCAAAGTTTCCCTCACATTTTCAGTTCTCAGTTTTTCGCTTCCTTTGGAGTCGCATCATAAAGTCTAATTGAATGAAGTAGAACATCTGACGAACCGATGCTGTAGACGATCGTCAAATCGAATGCCCAGTCCCCTGGGGTCATGGTGACTGTGAAGATGACGATAACAAAGGCGATGTTGCCAAAATGTCGACCACAATAAAGATTTCTAAGCTACGGTGTAAGCCTTTGAGTCAACATGGGTATTCTGCTATTATTGTTCTTGTTGCATTGCTCTCCTTTGTGATAACCTTTAAGTTTTACTGATTTTCGCACGAATTCCTTAGTCCTGGAATTCAGTGTTTTCATTCTAGCTCATCATTCAAGAGGTTGCCAATCATCAACCACCTGTCAGTGTACACTCTTATCTGCGAACAAGAACGCATCGAGAAAAAATAAGGAAAAGGGAGCAAATAGTAGGCCAGCCCTGTTGTGCACCTAGCAGTAGTGCGAAAGGCATAGGGAAACCCCGACTTTTCGATTTTCCGTTTAGGGTGCGCCAGTCTGCAGTGGTGCTGTGATTACTCGCACACAAGGCGATTTCAAGCAATGTTTTTGATTCTCCACTTTTTCAAATATTTAGACCCTACACATTCGGAACAAGTTTAATGGGTCCATTGAGTGATCACCTTTTCAAGAAAATAGATAAGTGAATTTAAAGTAAAAAAAGACAAAGCTCTTGGGGCACATCAATTCCTGAAGGATGCGGCATGAGTTCAATTTCATTAAGCGTCGGCACAGGTGATTGAATGCATGTCCGGCTCATAAAATGACTTGCGATGGAGTACGAGATGCCAAATAAGTGCTTCTGTCCTTCCAGACAAGTCTGGTCCCAATTTGGCAATGCCCAAATGGAAAGGTTCATAAGCCCTGGACGCGAGCCAACGACTTCGTGTGTGCTACAGGGCACCCGTGACCACTGCTCTTCACGGGTTCTATAAATGAATTTGTTATGCGAGAATTAATTACACATAGATGTGTAGCCTGTTATGTCGAGAAATACCACATGTGAATTACAGAGAACTCGGTGTGGTTGCTGTCGACGACTTTCCGGGATGTTCGAGCCGAGCACGCAGGAGACGGGCGTGTCCGGCCAGTGCTGGCTTGAGGTGGTGCGGGTCGCCGTCGGCAGTTTCGGGATTGGTCCTCGTCCAGCCTGTCCCTCAATGTTCGCTCTCATTGTCAGCGCCGTCGGTGAGTTGCGATTATTTCAGTGTTGTTGAAACACTTGAATTTCAAAACAACTCCATCCGCTGCAGTACTGCACCGATAGTGCTGACTGTGAAGTCTTTTTGATAATTTTTTTTCCAAAAATAGCACTTTCTTTCTCACATTAGTGCTATTTTTTGACCTTACTTTTTTTAACAGCAGCACTGAATAGCGCATGTGTTAAAAACGAGTTATTTTATTCGGTGGAACTAAACAGAATATCTTCGTTCCTCCTTTAGCCTATTTCACCCAAAAAACCTTTGCGATACATAAACACTGAAAATAGCTGTTTATCATGCACTTACTTTTTTCGTTCCCGTTACTGTAATTTCATCACTTCAACATTAAACATTAGCATTCCTTATGCAGAGAGATATTTTTGGCGATATGAGACATCCATAAAAGAAAAGAAGGAATTACGCTTGCGAATTTCTCATTTTGTCTCATTTTTCCGCTTCACTTCGTTCATCCCACCATCTTCGACCGTATCCTCTTCTTCGTCCATAGAGAAACTTCCTAAATGCGTAATAATCTCAGTTTTACCGCCTCTCAATTTTTGAAGGCTCTGATTTCTTTTGTTTGTTGTTTTTCTTCATGTAATTTTTTCCTCTTTCTCTATGAATGGATTTTCCAAAGTGATTCGATTAACTTCATTTCGAAAAGCCGATTTCTTCTGAGTGGCTTCCTGCTTTCGTTGATCGCAACAATTGGCATGACTTACGTCGACGAACAAAAATTTGCGAGAGTCGAAAATTAACACGAGAAGCACCAAGTTTCCTCGTTGTTACTTTGAATTCTATTAGTTTGCTAACTTTCTATTGTTTTCGTCTCGCACACTTTTCTTTGAAAAGGGTGGATAATTTCAGAATTCCTCATTCTTGCTACTCCAGGCATTATAGGTGTTATTGCTTTTACTACTATTACCGTAATCATCACTATCATTGGCATTAAATATTCAGGCTTTCGAAAAAATAATGAAAAAACAAGAAAAAAAATGAAGGAAAAATCCGGTGTGAAAAAGTCCTGAAATTAGCAAAACAATGGTGGAAGTAATAAAGATATTTCGCACTGTCCTGGACATCCTTTTTCCGAACCATTTTTGAGAAGTCTACAAGAAAAGGTTTTTATTTTGTAAGAGCTGATATTGTTTTAAGGAAGACGAAGGAGAAGGCAAACCTGGTCGTTAATGAGGTAACCCAGCTGATAAAATTAGGCACCTTTAAGGTTTTAATAGAGCGTCCTTTTATCACGAAGATTCATGTGGTTTCTAAACTTGTCTTGTGTTTAACTGATATTTCATTGGTTGGAGAAGACGGTCATGTCCAAGTCATCACCATAGAAAGTCATTGGACCAGTGGGTGGATTAGAATGAGGCTTATCACCTCATCAGTACTTTTCTTTAAGGAAAGAGGCAATTTCTGCATTTGTTTGCTTCCAGATGGGCTTTTCCACGATAATGTTGGGTTCTGTGTCAGCTTTGCTTACGCTTCCTAGTTGCTCCACTTCTTACCTCCTCCATACCCCTCTACATTCTCTTCATAATTACTTTATCAGCGTTGATTTTCTGCAGAGATGTCAACGTACTGAAGTCGTTTTTGTCTTTACAGAACCTATTCTATATGAGGCAGTGGCTAAAGAAAGACAAGAAATCTTCGAAGCTGATTCTGGTAGTCGTTTTTGATTAATATTTCATCAATCTTGTGGTCAAGAATGAAATCGCGTTCTTCTGAAGTCGATGTAGCAGTTAATGGCTGCTGTCATTCTCATGCTTAGATGGAATGTTTTTTCCTTTTTAATTTATTTTCCGAAAGAATCTGTGCAGTTTGCTGCTAATACCTTGAAAAGAAAAGGACGTGCCCTGATTCTACAGTGTTTCTTAGCATTTGAACTACATTTACGGCGTCCATCGGTGGCCCGTAGCAGCGTTCCTGATGAAATTCTTTGTCTTGTTTGCGTAACGCTTGGTGATCTGTGAAGCGAATTTCTCATTGGTGGTGATGGATTGCTGTGAATTATGCATTTTTCTAAAAAGTGCGTGCTACTACAGTTGTTGGTGAGACCGCCAACGGGCAGGAAGGTGCTCCACGGAAAGAAGCGGGTAGTAGTGGGACACAACCTCACGGCGAAACACTCTCTCTTCCCGACAGGGGCAACGGCTGCAGAGCCATCTAGTTTAGGCTCGACAAACCGTTGCAGTGCCCTCACAGTGGACTTAGAAACCTCTCCGAATTAATGGAACAGGCTGCAAGTCATCGTGGAATCACTGGGGTAAATAGCAATGAAATAGCAACGATTTCAAAGAAGAACTGGAAAAAAGGCATTATTTACCTGCGGTTTCAACACTTTCTGAGACTAATGAGCACCTTGTCTTGATAATTATGCTCAGTGCACTCCTACTCAGTTATTTTGACTACTTTTAACTCTTTGCTAACTCATATTTTATTCACTAATTATTTATTTATTTGCGTGTTACATCAATGAACAAGCGTTTGGTTTAGTGCGTAATTAAAACTAAAACTGAACTAGCTGAGAGACAGGAGAAACCAAGAATCCACATGGTGTGGTGGTAAACGCTTTAGCCCCTGGAAAGGTTAAAAGCACGTTCGTTCCCTACCGCAGGCACCTGCGGTCCGGAGTTTGGCAAATATCTAAGCATCGTTGTGGCTGTAAGTTGAATTGTTCATAAGAAAGCTTTAATCGATATGTGGTGGGGCAAAATATACATCCATACATAGGCAAATATGCCTATATGCACATTATATAGTTGGAAAAATCACATAGAGAATAAAGTTTTCCACTAATGACAGCGATTCGTCGCATTAATTTGCTGCAATTCGGATTGGTGAAGGCGACGTCCGATGGCGATCCCAGGATGGTCGAGTTCTGCCCTCTACGCGTGGACATGTGCAGAAACAAAAAAGAAAATATTTTCACTTCAGGATGAAAAGGCAGAAATGAATGAAGCGAGAAGAAAGAGGGCGTTAGTGACGAGAAAACAGATTTTCGTACCGAAAATCTGAATGAAATGATTGACTGTGTGTTGCGAAACCCAGAAAAAGAAAAGGAAGAAGAAAGACCAAAATATGACATTTTTTCAGAAATGCTTTCAAAATGCTCTTCTTAAGACTTTGGCTCCGATTATGTGATTATCTGAATGTATACACTCTAAAATGAGTAGATGTGAAATATTATCTGTCATTGAGCTGTAGTAGTTTTTCTTCGGAAGTGAATTACAGAATGTTCCTTTTTCCTAGCCCCTTTTCCCTTCCACCACCACCACCAAAGCTTCTCCGCTCATGTAGAGGTATAGAAGTTGTCATATCCATGGAAACATCTGTCCATCCACACCATTTTTTCTTTGTAAACTTTACATTTTAAGTAATTTTTTTTGCATAGTTCAGATGGAAAATTTTGACCTGGAAGGAAATCAGCATCTTGTACGTTGACACTAAACACTTTTATGAAGTGCTGAGATATTTGCAAAACTCCGGACCACAGGTGTATGCAGTGGGGAACGAACACGCGCTGTTGTCCTTACCGGGGAGCAGCGCACTTCACCACTACACCATCCGGGTCCCTTTCCCATCCATAGCTACTACTTTTACAATCATTGCTGTTGGCATTAGTAATTCTAATAATTATTGGTTTTACTTTTCGATCATTATTCCGTTTATTTCGAACTGTGTAATTTTTGGAGGACTAAGAAAGGCGCATTGAAGGCACAGCTGAGTGGATGATAAAAAGTTCTGCAATGGGGCTCATTAACATGAACTAAGTGTGAGCGACGAAAAAAATATCTTGTTCCAATTACTAATAGGGTTTTATATGATCGCAAAAATATTTTTTGTTTATTTTTAATGTCTGTTTAGTTGTTTATTCGTGTTTCTATACGAAATCAACTGTGATGATCACAGAGGAGTAAAAGCGACTCAATCCATTCCACCATTTCTATCAAATCTAAGAAAATTGAGCTCGAGGTCTTCAACATAAAGTTGAAAATATCCATCCTACGTCGGACTGATTTTATTTCTGGGAGTTCCTTCTAGTGTATAACTTTTACTGCTCGTTATTTTTTCATAGCAAGGTATTATGTGAAATATACCCACAATGATGCTGAGATATTTGCAAAACTCAGACTCCAGTCGGAATGCGAACCCGCAATTACCCTTTCCTTAGGCTCACGTGCGGATTTACGTGACCCGTTGTGAAGCGTAATCTTGGGTTCGATTATGAACTGGGATTTGAGTTTTGCAAATATCTCAGCATCGATGTCAGCTTTTTATTTACTGACTATTACAATTTTAACGGCAGCGTATTATGTGTAATACAAGCACAATGGTGCTGAGATATTTGCAAAACTACGGACTGCAGGTGTTTTGCGGTGGGGAACGAACACCCTATTATCCTTTCCGGGAGCTAACATGTTGGCAACCATACCATATGTGTTTTTCGCTTCGCCTTTTTCTCAGTTAGTTTTCTATCTAACACTGCCATCAGCAATCACTCGTCAATGAGATTTATCTGAGTATGGGGTGCTGGAAGGGAGTGAATTCGGTAATGAACCCAGTTAAGCTAAGGTGGTCGTCGAAATCGCAAATTTTAACTTTTTATTTACTGCCTATTACAATTTCTACGGTAGGGTATTATGTGTGATACAGCTAGGCAGACACCTACGGTCCGGAGCTTTGCAAATATTCCAGCATCATTGTGATTGTAGTTCCTCTCAGGTTCACGAAGCCAAACAAGAACAGAAAAAAACAGGTCGCTCCTCTCGACTTTATCCTCGACACCGTTGCCATTAAATGTTTATGAAGACTATTTTATTACTGAAAATATCTTCGAAAAAAGACAAAGAGAAAATGGAAGGAAAGAAGATGAAAAGTCAAAAATTAACGGTAGTTTTTTGTTTCCTACTTACCTCATTTTCAAATTCCAAATTTTCAACATTTTACATGTTCAAAAAAGTTTAAAGGTAGGTGACTAGCTAAAAATTGATTGATTTTTTCTGGTCTACTACATGCATTGAATACACCATAAATATAAAGCCTGCTGCCATAAGCGCCGTTTCCATGCTCCGTTAAATTTTCTCTTTTGTGCCACCATTATATCCTTTAAGCATTACTGTTTTATAAATAATTTCACCCATGAAAAGAACGTTTTAGGAAAAAGTCTTGACTGCTTTTTATGATCCACGATACCGATGGTTATTTCTCGCCTTAGCACACCGTCGTTTGCTGTGAGAGAGGTGGTTCAGCCGTACTTGCCGTCTGTCCGACGGCGGTCTGTCGGCCACATCTGTGGGGGTGGGCGGAGATGCGGCCGATTTGTTACCATCGTTGCTTTTCACGCTCAAGCGCTCACCCATCATCTAGTATGTAGCTTCATCACGACGATGCACTCCGGCGCCGACGACGGTCGAATTGCCGTCCACCGATGGAAATCGGAGGGCACCTCACTCGCTCAACGGAATGCCGATGGCTTCCGTCGCCACGCTCGGACGACTCCGAAATTCGCAGCGAAGGAGACGTCGATCGACACGAGTGCAGAATATTCTCTCATTAGAATCATGTTGGCAATTTAACTCGTTCTATAAAACGCACAAGTGCAGAATTTAGGTGTTGTTATCTCTGCAGCGGATAAGTTAGTTGGTCGAATTAAGGATTCTTAAGGGCCTTTAGTTAATGTATAAGAAAACTAGGTAAATAACAAATCGAGGTTGGAGCGCTATTGCGCAATGAAGTTTTATTTCCCTAAAAATATACCGAATTTCACTTCAGTAGCAAATGACTCATTTTTAATTAAAAGTCCTACTAGGATCTTGAAATATAAAGTTTTGCCTTACGAAGTAATTATACAACAGGTAGAGGGAGGTTTTGTGCAATACTTCAATTTTTACAAATGGCTATTTGAAGTCAAATAGTAGAAAACGCATGCGATTTCAGCGCTCTGTGGAGTCATAATTGACAGCATTCCGACTCAGATTCAGCTGGTGCACGATCTACTCGACAAGTACGACAAGAAGGCCAAACCAACGTGGGACAACTGGAAGCCGATCAACGTCTCGTTCTCCATGGATTTGTATCAGATTCTTGAATTGGTTGGGGCTAAGTACATCTACAAACTTTGGAAATTCAAGAAAAAACTATTGGAATGCTTTCGATTGCCTTCTACAGTGATGTTTAGTTGTGCGTTATTGTTTGCTAACCAAGAAGTAGTTGCACTATTTTCTTTGCTTTTGTAGAGCAAACGAACGGAGCGTGCTCCGAAAATTAGAAAAGTGATAAGATGCAAGACCATGATGGCTTCTTTACTCGATAATGACATGGAATCATGAAGATTTGCACAAGCCTCAGAGCAAACTTCATTTGACTGATATTTTTCTAGTAACGAATGACCCGCATGGTGTGGTGGTGAACGCGTTACTTCCCGGAAAGGACAATTGCGCGTTCGTTACCCAGTGCAGACACCTGCGGTCCAGAGTTTTGCAAATACCTCAGCATTTTAGAAATATTTGAAATTAGCCCCATTGGATTTATAAAATATCACTAACAGAAGCGACTGACATAGATCCACTTGCTATAACCATAGCTATAACGCCTAGAACTTTTTAAGCCGGAGAGGAAAGCTTGCTATAACTCAGCTTGATGCCGAAATACATTAAGCGAAAGCAGTTGCTCTTGTTCTTACTCGACAACATTTCTTGCCAAAATCTTTGAGTTTATCAGCAGTTTGTTTAAAGTCTAATACAAAAGCGGCATTTTTGCGATTTCAAAATGGTCTTTTCAGAACGAACCACAGCAGTTCATTCTTTTGAACGCCTGGATAATCGAGGTTAGTTCCGTTTGGTCGCTTCCATTGAAATTTTCAGCGAAATGGTTCTTCGAGAGAAGGAGCTCTCCTCTAGACTGAAGTAATCGTCTCTTGCCATAATGACGGGAAAGCACTACGTTGCTTCCTGTAGATTCCAATTGCTTGCACAATTTTGTCTTCAGATTTGCATCATCCTTCTTAAAATGACTTTTAAACACTCCTATAAAGGACTATGTGACAGTTCATGAGACCAAATTTTTAACTGACATTGGCATTGGTCAGAATGAAAGTGTATTTTTGATGAACTGACATAGGGTTTAACCGTTTTATTTGCTGCCTACTCTTTTTAATGGCAGGGTGTATTGCGAAATATAACTTCAATGATACTGAGATATTTGCAAAACTCCAGACCGCAGGTCGGGCCCGTGGAGATCGAACTCGCTATTGCGTTTTCCGGGGAGTAACGCGTTGACCACTACACCATGCGGGTCCTTCGTTTCGCCTGTCTCTCAGCCAGGACAATAGCGTGTTCGTTCTCCACCGCAAGCACCTGCTGTTCGGAGTTTTGCAAATATCTCAGCATCACTGGCATAAGGCTGTTATACGATGGTTAACAAGTCGCCGAGCCTCGCCTGATTCAAAGCAATTTTTCTATCGTTCACTTTCTACGGAAAGCAGAAACAAAGCCCTACTTGTCGCATGTAAATTCTCTGCGGGTGGCCTGACTTCTTCGAAATAAGAGAAAACGCAGGCGGCAAAAAACCATTCTGAAGAAGGCGAAGTTTGTTGAAGCACAGCAACTTGACACATTGAGTGCTGTGATCAGCTGCTCAGGGGTTGGCGAGCAGCACCCCTTGCAGCGAGGTTGATACCATACACAGTCAGCACTGAACCGATTAACTGGCTAGATGGCCAAGATATCATTCATCGGTCAAAACAAGATGGTAATTTTCTGATTTTTTTTGAATGATAGTTATTGAAAATCTTTATTAGTCTGTTACGACAACGAATTTGAAGTTTTTATAATCGAACTTTCATTTTCTGTTTGAGCATAATATGTGCGATTGTCCGTAATTCCAATACTTGGATAGTTGGATACTTGGACGGCCCGTCGTCACCGATTGTGCGGGCCCCAACATCTTCTCCATTTTTCGGAGTTTTCCTGCTTTACCCACTGCGTTTCCCTGGATTCCCCGGGTCAGTCTGGCCAAAGTCTGACCCAAATCGTCAACACCACAGGCGTCCCCCCTTGTGGATGAGAAGGAGATTTGCTACCATGTGACTAATTTGATACCAGAGAGGGGTGGTGGATCGTGGTACCCGTTTACTCTCAGCTGAGTTTTCTGATGGAAACACCGAACTCCTTCTCAGCTTGGGACATGCTGCCGTGGGAAGAATACCCCCGCTGTACATCGCAGCCCGACACTCAGGAACACCTCCCAGCCACGATGAGGCAGTAAACCATTGGGTGCAACACTTAGTTATGATGATATTGCTCTGCTTGGTCTGCTTAGGTTCGATTTTATCATTTTTAAAGTGATACTTACCACCAGTTGTTTTCAGAATATAAAAAAAGTGTTGAAGTCTTTTACGTATTAGCTGACTTTCCTTCCTCGTCGGTAAATGTGTAAAATAATATTTTGAAAAACTTTACCAGTGAAAGAACACATATTACAAAGTAGTCATCGATAAGCTCACTCTAGCTCTCTCGTCGTGCCTTATTAATTTAATTTATGTAGATTCAACCAAGGCACTGAGTTTGAACCAGAGAGGGGAGACGTCGAATTTAGACAGCTAAATCAAATCCACTCTTCTTCTTGAATTTGGCAGCGCAGCTCTCGTCAGGCGAAAAGCTTCTGCCTTAGCATCTCAATTTTCTCTTCCATGCAACGTCTGCAATAGATGTGTAAAATTTGTGATGAAATGCCACGGTTCCCCAGATATTCGTTCTTTCACGCGGTCTAACAGATTTATCATGAACGTCTGAATTTTTGGTTTTTGGCTGAATATTGTTTTCGCTCAACTCTTCAATCATTCTCACAATTCCGCAGATAAGGAGAACAACAGTCCAACAAAATGCGTGATCACAGCGACTATTTCGACTGGTATGTGGGACTTTCCCTTTTTTTGTAGAGGTGGTACCTTCAGCGGTGTACAGTTTCATCATTGCCAGAGAATTTCCTCGGAACTGTAATCTATCAAAGGAGGAGTTCGTTCTCAACGCAGTGACCCAAGCTGCGAAGTTGATTGAAACCCATAATCCCAGAAAGAAGTAAACGAATTCCACCGTCGGGTTAGGTTATTATACTGGCGACTTTCTGGGATTGCACTGTAAAAAATCTGTGCAAATCAGTACCATGCAAGTTTAATGGAGCGTCATGTACTGCAGCGTAACATTTTTCGGAAAGATGGGTCGTTAAAGTACCAAGTGATGGACAACAACCTCACCATTTACCTTATTTAAAATGCCGGCTTCGTAATTTACGGCGTCGTCCATTCTCTCGGTTCATCCATTCTCCTTCTTTTTGTATGCTAAGAAATATTACGATGGTTTTCCTCCAGTGTTCCACTTTCACAACTACTCTCATGTGGACCATAGAACAAACGAATAGACCATTTTACTTCGAACTAACCGACTGCTGGAAGCACTTTAGCGTCATGTTTTTTCATAGCATCCGCTATCAGTTTTCCGTCCGTAACACTTTCACCAATCTTAACATTTTTATTTACTGCCTATTATTTTTAACGGCAGGGTGTTTTGCGAAATATAACTATTATAATGCTGAGATATTTGCAAAACTCCGGACCGCAGGTGTCTGCTCGTGGTTGCCTACCGATGTATTAAGCCAGTGCTGCTATCCTTCCAGACAAGTCTGGTATCAGTTTGCTGATCCCGGAGGGTTAGAAGGCTTGGTGAGCCTTGGGGCTGGGGGTCGATCCCATGTGTAATGCAGGCCGCCTCCGACTACTGCGCCACATGCGCGATCGCCAGTCACCGTATGAGGTTTTAATGGTGGAATTAGAAAGAAAAGTGACTGGAATACTTCAATCACTTATCCTCACGAATCGCAAAGAATGGTGTAAGTAACGGCCAATCTACATTTCAGTGGTAATTTTTTGGTTGGGAAATATTTCTTTTGCTTGCAGTTTCGAACACCGGTACTAGTGCATTCAGAAGTCATCGCCACTTTTTAGACAGTGACTATTTTGCTGCTAAGATAGCAGCAATTTCTAGCATTGCTTTCCTCCCACTTGATTGCCTGATGGAAAGGCTTTTTGCACCGGTGCTCGTGCTGGGTGGGTGGTTCCCGACTACCCATCGCGAATTGACACCCTGAAATACCTCCTGGCTGCGATAAGACGATAAACTATTAGGAGAAATGTAAAATAGAATTAAATGCGTATTCAAAAGTTTCAGCGCTATTTAATTTTTTAACGATGACCCATCGAGAAGTTCTTATGTGATTTGTTCTCCTGTTATGCACTGAGTGACTCTTGCACAGCCACCAGTTCACTCGCTTCATTGATATCTAAGACAATATTTTTTTTGCGCGAGTCTGCTTCTTTTTGTTGTCATTGTTGGAGGGTACTCAGGGATAGCTGCCTGGATTCCGCTCTTGTGGAAAGCCTCCAGGACCTTCGCTGAATACGAAGAATCTGGATGTCTTTTTTGAAACCGTTTTCCATGTACTCCTTGATTACTTAACCACAGCCTTTTGACTCAATAGACGTTCTGAACGCAGTCGTCACAGATGCAAGAATACTTACGGCACTTATGAGTAAAATATGTGTAACAAAAATCATAAAGCAATCCGATACAAAGAAATTCCAGTCCGTGCTCATTCAGTGATTCGTTTTGCGTCACAGGACTGAGTGCACGGTGTTTTACGACCTCCTACACTCCCTTTTCCGCCAACAGGTGACGTGCTATGTAACCTTCTTGCTCATCGGCTAGCGGCCTTTCACGTGAATGAACTCTGCAACTGGAACAATGATATATTACATATCTTATCTTTTACTATCTGTTTAACATGAAAATCGAATGTTTTTAACAATCGAATCAGATGTGACTCATCTGTATCTCATAACTTGTTTGGACACTTCGATGCACAAATAAGTCATTAGCAATAGATGACAGCAGTTTTCTTCGATCTATCCGTTCCTTCAATGCATTATTGCTAATCGAAATAATAAAACACACTAGTAGAGAGTACCTTATCAACAAGGTTCAAAAAACCGCAGGAACAACGATATCTTTCGTCTCCTTAAAACAACTACAACATCCGAAGTTCGGTTGAGAAAATACACTGGAAAACTCGCTATTCCCAGTTACAGTTATCACCTAAGTATAGTTTCTTAAAACAAATGATTTTCTATGAACGTTGTTGAGAACGTTATTGCACTGTAGTTTGAACAGTGAAGAGCTGGATGTTACAATGACTTCCTAGAGAGCGCAGCGCGCACCCAGAGCAAACGCAACGTAGCTGGTCACAGCCGATCAGGGCCGTCTGTTCATCGAGAGCTGCTTGCTGGTCGCAGGAAACGCAGGCTTATCCATCAGCGTGTCCTTCGAATTCATCCCTTGTGATTACAAAACCTAATATTGATTAGTGGCATTTATCTTATTATTTTTCAGTGATTTATTTTCTTTATGAATTAAACTGTTAGAAGAAAGGAAGTTTAATGTCGTTCATTTCCAGTTTTTTTTTATGTTTCAAAAGAAAGTCTGAATAACGATGCTGAGTCCAAAGAGGTTGTATTCTGGGGTTAGACTTTCAAGTAATTCATTCTCGCCACTACAATTAACCGATTTCGAAACCCCTTTTTGGTAATATCGATATTTTCTTGCAGTTTCATCCACTTGTTTTGTTCTTCTGGACAGATCTAAGAGAACACCTCTAAAAGTAAAAAAGGCAAAGAAAAAGATAAAAGGAAGGAAGGATAGAGTTGGTTGAGGAAAACATGGAACAAAAGTGAGGGAGGAAAAAGAGAGGAAGAAACTTCGCTTGAGAACACTTCCCCACAGGAAACGATCGTACTCTTATGAAATTGTGTCCCTCGAAATAATGGCTGCCCATTATGCCGATTATTCCGCCATTATTTTCACTCAAAAGTAGTTTACGGATGAAACAGTAATTATCAATTTCTGCCATGATCACGTTAATAATTCAGAAATGTCTTAATTAAAAGTAAGAAATTCATCAACAACAAGCCTAAACTACAAACTTATTTTCAGCAAAGGCGTCGCACCTATTTTAACCGCTGCCATTACTTGATACTTGGACAGCCCGTCCTCATTAGTTGTGTGGCCCCAGCATTATCACCATTTTTCGGGGATTTGCTGGTTAAGCCATTGTGGTTCCCTGGAGTCCCGAGGACAGAATGGCCAAAGTCTGCCCCAGGTCGTCACCACGACAAGCAGTCGCTGCCCTTGTGGATCAGAAGGTGATTTGCCACAATGCGACTTTGATACCAGGACGGTAGTGGATCCTGGTACTTATTTACTCTTAGCTAGGCTTTCTGATGGAAACGCCAGACTCCTTCTCAGCTTGGTAGACCTTGCCAGGGAGACGAGTCCTCCAGCTGTACATCGCAGTCCGACACCCAGGAACAGTTTCCAGCCATGATGAGGCGGTGAACAGTTGGGAGGAATTGCTACCTTTATATAATTATTATTATATTATTATTATGATTAATTAATGCTGCGATAATAGTACCACCTGCATCATCTGTACACCCGTTGATCATCGAGTGACTCGAGCAGGCCCCAACAAATCTTCCGCTTTTCTCTGTCGTGTGCAGGTGTAGCCCAGTGGGTTCTGCTCGCTCTAGTAGCTTGTTTGGTATCACATCACTATCACTCTTCTGAGGCTTTCATGAAGAACTCTGACAATCGGGTCGGTGGTATTCCTGCAGTGCGCTTGACATCCCAAGAAATCCACTCACTAACGGGTTCTGTCCATCGATTGTCGCTCATAAGCATTACCTGTCTGACCTTGAATTTTAGGGTTTCGGCGGACAACTCGTCCGCGTGCGGATAACTCGTCCGAGGCTACAGTATCCAGCGTGGGTTTTGCAGGTGTGCGTGGCTAGCTGATAGCCGGCTGCGAATAGCGAAAATCGCGTTTGGAGGCGTTTTATAGCGTCGGGACGGACAACTCGTCACCTTCGAGGGGCTGTCGATTTTTGCGTTTTTCTCGCTTAAACGCATTTTCGAGCGATTTCCTCTAGCGGATTCCCCCTCCCCGGCCCGACCCCATTACCTGTCTAATGGATAGTCACTTAACTTTATTGTTTTTATTCTTTAACCATGAATAATTTGATACAATGCGTTTTTTTAATCATGTACAAGTTATTTTTGTTCATATACCTCACTAATACCCTCTAAATCCTATTACCCCAATAACTTTCTTCCTTTACATGCCTTCGAAATTAACCCAACAAATTCGAAGGAGTTTACCAAAAATCAACGTTAATGCTTAAAAGATGTTTATCTTGTGTATGTGCACTATTCTCCAAGACGTGATTTGCAACCGATTTCAGAGATGGTACGACGAGTTCCTCTACTGGGTTCCCGAAGACTATCAGAATATTTCCGAATTACGTCTTCCATACAACAACATTTGGTTGCCGGATACTACTTTGTATAATTCGTAAGCTTTGACAACCTAATATATCAAACGAAAGTTTTTACAGCACAGCTAAACTTTTGATTAGAACGCACGAAAGGTTATTTTCAGTCTAGTCATGAAAGATGACGAGACGCGACGCCTTCTAAACGCAAAGTTAACGACGGATCGTCGTCGTCGTGCATCACTCATCGAGTTGCTTTACCCGACCATTTACAAGTTTTCCTGTCTACTCGACTTGCGATTTTTTCCATTTGATGTACAGGTTGGTAAATTATAGCTTTAGCTATTCCTTTCCGTGCCACACGAATTCCCACCAATAATCGAGTTTCTGCAAGCTATATATTCGTCCCTGTCGATTACCAAAACTGTCGCCTCAGCTAGCATAAAAAACAACGAAGTGAAACGCTCTATACTAGTTATTCTAGTATGGCAGTTGTTCCCCTTTTTGAAAAGTTAATTTTTCCTAAGGGAGCTGATAGCACAATGGTGGTGATGTCCGTCATCACGAGCATAGCATAGTGGTAGTTCGATTCCCCTTCGGGCCAACCAAGCGACTCATCCCTCCAAGGTCGGGAAATTGGTACCGGACTTGTCTGGAAAAAAATCACTCTCTGCTATCCAATTGAGACCGCTCTAGCTTGGCTATCTAGGGATTCCAGGAAAAATCGTTCGACCAGCATTCTACAACTATATTCAAGATGAAATGGAAATCCTCAAGCAGCAACCGAAGCTACACATAAAAGTTGGAAGATCTTCGTGGGAAATGGTAGCGAGGAAACGAATCGGATGTGAGAAGGATTGCGATCCTCACAGTAGACGTGAAGACGGGCTAGATAAAAAAGTAAAGGATTAATTTCTCCTAGATCCTGCCTGGCATTGCTATTGGAGCTCGGAAGGGCTGGTATGGATTGCTCATTAGATTCTGCGATAGCAGATGCTAAACAAGACTTTAGCTCCGAAAAGGTGTTGCTGATATAGCCCAGCTACCTGAATTTGAAACAATGAAAAATCGAAACGTCAAAATATTTTATTGTTTATTTATTGGGTTGCAGTAGCTGACGTTTCGTCGGTTTCGTCTTCTTCAGAGCCTGGAAAGATCAAATTGAGGTGCGATCTATTCAGCTAAACTACCCTCATATCAAAATCCTCACGCAGGAATCGAAAACATCAGCGCGTAAAACTCTTGGAGAGTTTTGGATCATTTCCAATGATTCAAAAATGAACCGCAAGGAGGAGTGTCTTGTCATCACGCGTGACTTAGCGCCATCCCTCAGGCTGATTCAATGACCTGACAAAGGCACAGTCGTCGCCCACGTATTACTCTGTGCGGCTGCTATCCCCAACTAACTTAAGTACTTACAAAGAATAAACGGTAAGTGTTTAAATGAAGCTGTTTCGTATGCGAATACAAATTTATTTGTTAAGTTTCTCTGCTGGGGTTATGGAAGTGTTTAGCTGAGAGATCGTATCTCTTTTTGACCTTTGCAGACTCAAAGAAGGCGAAACCGCCGAAACATCAACTATTATATCTTAATAAATTCTATAACAACAACCTCGCGTCTGCTTATTGAAGAAAAACATCGAATTGTCAATTAATACCGAGCTTAACAGAAAGTCGGTCTTGGGAATATTTTATTGTCTGTTGCATGGCCCAACATGATGTCTATCACACTGTGAAGATCCAAACACTTCCTGTATTTGATTTGTTTTTTCGCACCTACCATCAATGAAAATCTTTGAACTTTATTTCATGTGACTTTGGTTACCGCTTAAGGACCTTTTAGTCTTGGTCACAAATGTCGTTGAATGCCGTTTGAGTCGACGCTTCCTAGAATCCTGAGATGGTCGTGCAGACGCATTCCTACACGGTTGGGGCTGAATGTCAAAGGAGCACCTGGCAAGGTCCGGTCGTCCGCATGTTGAACGGGGTCACTGCTACTGTGCTACCTGCTCTCCAAGATTGCAATAAAAGCGAAGAAAAGATGGACTTTTAAGGACGAAATAGTACATGCGCATGCGGTTTTTCAACCCCCTACCGTTTCGATTCCATGTTATTCCCAGACCCAAATTTTATATTTCTGAACTAGTAATCCACATTTGCCGACTAGAGGAATACATAGACCACCGTGAGATTGTAAGATCTAAAACGACAGTATTCGGTGTAGACTTACTCTGTGCAAAATTTGTGTAATAGACTTTGCAAACCAATGTCTTGAGCTTTCTGTTGAAGGTTTGCACCATGACATTCTCATCGTGGACCTATGATCAGAAAGGAATTGATTATTTTCCGTATTCGGATAAGATTGGCACCTCAAACTATTTGGAAAACGAAGGATGGTATATTCTAAAGACGAATGGTAAGACTAAATTCATATGAGCTTCTAAAAAATGAAACCGATCTTGAGACACTTTGAAAAACAGGATTAAAGGAAACGTTGATGTATGGCTATCAGTACATTGAAAGGTTTCGTTAATACCAATAAGTAATACTTACATCCAAAGTAAATGGTTTAGCTTTCAACCAAAATAAAGTATGATATACCAGAATGTTTCTATGACAGACTTCGTTGCAAGAGTTTTTGCTTGCAAAACTAGAACTAGCTGAGAGACAGGCTAGACGAAGGATCCGCATAGTGTGGTGGTGTGGTGAATGCTTTATCCCTCGGAAAGGCGCGTTCGTTCGCCACCGCAAACACCTGCGGTACAGAATTTTGTAAATATCTCGGCATCGTTGTGGTTGTATTTCGTGTAGTACCCTGCCGTAAAAATGTAGTAGGAAGAAAATAAAGAGGAAACATTACGGTTTTTACTTATTTTTCAGTTACTCGAAACGAGGTGAAATACAGCTGTTGCCCGAATAAATACACCTTGCTGCAATTGACATTGTACCTGAGGAGAAAGCCGCTTTTCTACCTGGTGAATCTCATTATTCCCACTTCGATCATCACCCTAATCGCCATTGTCGGATTTTTCACGTGAGCCATCATTTCCTTTTGTTATGGGAGATATAATCGTCGTAAACTTTTCTGGGAGACAAAATTTCAGTGCTGTAATTTTCGCCTTCCCGTTTGTTTCCCTCTTTCTTGACTAGTCCTTTTGCTTTTTCCTTGTTTTTCGTTCTTTGAACGAATATTTCACACACTGCTATTTTATGTTCTATTCATTCTACACAGCCCGCCTTCGCATCTGCCGTGCAAATTCCATCACTTCTTCCATTCGGTTTCTTTAATGGCATCTATCATTCATGAAGGTCGTCGAGCTTTTTTGTGTTTTCGAGGATTTCGGTCTTTTTTATGAATGCTGTTGAATACTGGTTGAGTTGATTATACCTGGAACCTTGGGATAGCTGTGACTGGCGTTCTCACTTGGGTTCTGTCAAGTATAGGCAGCGGTTAGCGCAGTGTTTGTGATCACGTTCATTGTGTGGTCGGTACAACCTACGCTAGTGCTGCATCCTGCCCATTCCGCGCTCAGCATTACTCTCATCTATCCATGATGAGGAAATTGATACTATACGTGTTTGGAAAAAAACACTCTTCAATAGGAGTGGAACACTCTAGCACGACTTTCCCAGGATTCCAGGGAGGAACTGGCTGGGCCATCATTCATCGGCATTCGTGACAAAAACGAAAAAAATCTTCAACTAATAGCCGAGTAGCCGAGCCCACACGCAAAAGTTTGAAGAACTTCGTTGTGGTGGGATGCGAGGGAACGAAATGAGTGCAAAAAGTGTTTGGACACGCACAGTATAATAGATGTGATGACGGGTCTTGTAATAAAGAAATAAGGCAGACAAAATTGCACATGCACAAGCCAGACAGACACAGTCGTATACATTCGTTTACTATGAACACCTATCCGCACTTTTCCTTCCTTGGTTGTCCTTCTATAGTTTTCTTAATTACTTTTTCGGTTATCAGTATCCTTATCTATGATAGCAGAATAGGAATGGTGTCGCGAATATAGAGATACTTTCAAACAGAGACCCGATCTCATTATAAATGTTTCCTAGTACTACACTTTTCTTGTTAATGCGTATATTCGCATTTTGTGTCCACTGAGCAGGACATCGTCAGCCAGCGGAGTGCGGGAGGAGAAAGTATCGCTAGGTATCACAACACTTCTGTCGATGTCGATTCTGATGCTGATGGTCAGCGACCAGATGCCAACCACATCTACGTTTATTCCGCTAATTGGTCAGTTTTTGATTTTCTCAATAGTTCCTTCAGGGAATTACTATCTGCTTATCTTTTTCACTTCGCCTTTGCTTAGATAGGTAATACAGTCTAATAGATAGTCTAATAAATAGATAAGAGCATAAACTCCAAACTTCTCCGCGTTGAGTAGCAACATCAAATTGCTTTTTATCACACTTACATTCTCTTCGTATTTTTGTTGAGCAAACGCGAGTTGTTACTATTCTTTGTTCACGATTAACCTGACGTTTCGGCGGATTTCGCCTTCTTCAGAGTCTGGAAAGGTCAAGTTGATAGCAATCCACTCGGCCAGACGCCTCCATAACCAAACAAAGAAACTCCAAACCAAGATTTCAATCACTTTGAACACAGCTTTGCACACTGACCGCTTTCTATGAGGTTTCCACTAAGTATGTCACGTAGAGACCAACCGCACAGAAATCACGTGGAAGTATAATGTGCCCTTCACATCAGAAAAGCAGTTTTATATATTGCCCTATATAACGCGTGATAATGAGGCATACTTCCCTACGGTTCATTTTCGGGTTTCTGGAATTAATCCAGAGTGCCTCGAGAGTTTTTCGCGCCTGCGTTCTTGATTCGCGTGCGAGGATCGTGACACATACTTCGAAGTCGTCCCCGTTATGTCTCTGGGTCCTATGCGTGCCTAGCGGGGTATTTGGTCTATTTTTGCCGGCTAGGTGTTCTTTCATACGGACACAGAGGGGTCTACCCGTTTCGCCAATGTATTCGTCACCACACGTCTTACAGGAGATCAGATAAACTATACCCGAGCTCATGCAATCACCGTCTCTACCACTGGGGCAAATTATGCAATTTTGAGTTGCACATAGACGGTCATATAGGCGGTTACGAACTAGCTGGCGCTTAAGATTACTCGGTGGTATTTCAACTACGCTCACCGAATTCTCTAAGCCCGCCCTTCTTAAGCAGCGTTTTATAGCAGTACTTATATCATTTGAGATGAAGGGTAGGATAAACGGGACCCTTCTATCGCTAGAGTTGTCGTTTGGATGCCTACGATTTCCTCTACACCTATTCTGAGCTACAGTTTCGTAGCCATTAGAAACGGCTATTTGCCGTGCCAAGTTCCGGGACTCCTCTCTCTGCTCTCTTCCCGTGCACACGTTGGTTGCTGTTCGAAACATGTTTCTTATAAGCGCCCTTTTCGTGTGAGAGGGGTGAGAGGAGAGGTAATGAACCAAGATTCACTACTTGGCTTTCGGTACCACTTTGTAATGTAGCGATTTTCTGATAGGTGAATTTGTACGTTGAAAAATGGAAACCATTTTTCTTTCGGCTTTTCTCGGGTGAACTTGATATACTCTGACTGTGCGTTTAACAATTAACACAATTACACATTTAACAACACACTTACATTCATTTTATCACGCTTAGTATATGTGGCTGAATTGTCTTGACATGTGGACGTCAGCTACAGTCGTACAGTCAGTAAACATTCTAGCACGAGCACCTAGTCTTGGATTTGTTGCCGAGTAAACGACTCCTGATTTTCAACCCTTATGGACTTGTTGGTTTTTAAAAATAAATAAACATTCTCCGATAACTGGAACACATCGTGGGTTTGAGCATGAATGGATTGTAGAATTGCCCTATAGTTCCACAGGTGTGAATGATTGTGGTGCTAGTTGCTATGCCTCCTAACGGTTTATCATCTCCCACGACCGACTTTCTATTAACCTCGGCATTGATCAAGTAATTCTTCGTATTTTTGTTGAGCAAACGCGGGGTGTTATTATTCTTTATTCACGAATAAGCTGGCGTTTCGGCGGATTTCGCCTTACTCAGAGCCTGGAAAGCAATGAACTCATGAACTTCAAGATGGACTCCGCAAAAAAGCTAGAGATGAAGCGCTAAATAGGTGCGAACAACACCAAGTGGGGGCCCTGCCGATAGCACCATTTTTCCCGACGTTCTTTAGACAACAATAATGAAGTTGGAAGCTGATGTTAATTTTCGGATGTTTGCGAATGAAACTCTCAAACTCCTTAATCACTATCGCGCGAAAAGATACAGCTCAAACCTCACTCCAGTGCAAAAACGTGGCATGCGAGAGGTACGTGAGCTGACAAGGTTGAAAACCATAAAACTTTTCGTTAGTGATAAGGGTGGAGAGTTTGTCGTAATTCCTTATCAGTTAGATTTGGAGATAACGAAAAGCATCTTGAGGATGCTTCGCTTTATCGCCCATCTGAGAAGGAATTTAAAAGAAAATGCCGAAAATTGAACCACGAATGGATCAAAATGGCAAGGGCAGCTGGTTTAAAACCATCAGTTATCTCACAACTTAAAGTTGACTTACCAACATGCCCCGTCTTATACTTACTTATAAAAACTCATAAGTTAGTATCCAGCGATGTTCTTGCGTCTACCGATCCATCACTATTTGAGGTTAGACCTATCAGTAGCTGCGTGGGCAAGCCAACGGATAGAATAACGTGGTTAATAACCCTAATACTTACTCAGTTGTTGAAGTACATTCCAGCTCATCTAACGAACACCTAAATGTTCCTGGATCGCCTACTCAACGCGCGACTCAACAGCGCGTACGTGGTAGAGTCCTTCGACGTCACTGCCCTCTATACAAACGTGTAGAATGACTCCGCAATGCAAACCATACTTGAACTCTTTATGCAACACGAAGGAGAAATAAATATGTATGGCTTCAAGATAGAGCAGTTGATGGCACTCTTAAAAGAATGCTTGAGCTGCTCAATCTTCAGATGGTCTGGAAAGTACTACGCTCAAGTAAGAGGGTTGGCAATGAGACAACGATTGGCTCCAAGCCTTGCCATTGCATTTATGTCTAAGGTGGAAGCACCGGTGACTGATCTCGGGCCGCTACTCTACTGTAGGTATGTAGGCGACTGCTTTGTCCTTTGCTCAACACAAGAGGAAATCGACTAATGTTTCGAGTTGTTAAATGAACAGTCAGAGTATATCAAATTCACCCGAGAAAAGCCGAAAGAAAAATGGTTTCCATTTTTGAACGTACAAATTCATCTATCAGAAAATGGCTACATTATAAAGTGGGACCGAAAGCCAAGTAGTAAAAACATCTTGGTTCATTACCTCTCCTCTCATCCCTCTCACACGAAAAGAGCGCTTATAAGAAACATGTTTCGAACAGCAACCAACGTGTGCACGGGAAGAGAGCAGAGAGAGAAGTTCCGGAACTTGGCACGGCAAATTGCCATTTCTAACGGCTACGAAACTGTAGCTCAGGATAGGTGTAGGGGAAATCCTAGGCCTCCAAACAACATCTCTAGTGATAGAAGGGTCCCGTTTATCCTACCCTTCATCTCAAATGATATAAGTACAGCTATAAAACGCCACTTAAGAAGGGCGGGCTTAGAGAATTCGGTAAGCGTAGTTGAAATACCACCGAGTAATCTTAAGCGCCAGCTAGTTCGTAACCGCCTATATAACCGTCTATGTAGAACTCAAAATTGCATAATTTGCCCCAGTGGTAGAGACGGTGATTGCATGAACTCGGGTATAGTTTATCTGATCTCCTGTAAGGCGTGCGGAGACGAATACATTGGCGAAACGGGCAGACCTCTATGTGTGTCCCGCATGAAAGAACACCTAGCCGGCAAAAATAGACCAAATACCCCGCTAGGCACGCATAGGACCCAGAGACATAACGGGGGCGACGTAAAAGAACACCTAGCCGGCAAACATAGACCAAATACTCCGCTAGGCACGCATAGGACCCAGAGACATAACGGGGAGGACTTTAAAGTATGTGTCACGATCCTCGCACGCGAATCAGGAACACGGGCGCGAAAAACTCTCGAGGCATTCTGGATTAACTCCAGAAATCTGAAAATGAACCGCAGGGAAGAATGCCTCATTATCACGCGTGATATAAGGCAGTGTATAAGACTGCTATTCTGATGGGAGGGGCACATTATGCTTCCATGTGATTTCTGTGCGGTTGGTCTCTACGTGACATACATAGTGGAAACCTCATAGAAAGCGGTCAGTGTGCAAAGCTGTGTTTAAAGTGATTGAAATCTTGGTTTGGAGTTTCTTTGTTTGGTTATGGAGGCGTCTGGCCGAGTGGATTGCTATCAACTTGACCTTTCCAGGCTCTGAGGAAGGCGAAATCCGCCGAAACGTCAGCTTATTCGTGAATAAAGAATAATAACACCTCGCCTTTGCTCAACAAAAATACGAAGGTTTATCATCTCGTCGTGTCTAGGAGGTGTTCTTGGGTGCCGGGCAGCGAAGTACGGCGGGGTGATTCATTCGCACAGTAGGACCACCCAGGTTGAGAAGGAATTCGGGGTTTCCATCCGGAGTCCAGTTAAGAGCAAATCAGTACCAGGATCCACCACCGTTCTTGTATCAAACGAATCGCATGGTGGCAAATCTCTCTCTGATCCGCAAAGCAGCTATTGTTTGTGGTGGTGACGTGGCTACGCTGACCTAAGGACTCCAGGAAACCACAATGGCTATACCAGCAACATTACGAAACAATGAAAATTATGCTGGGCCCGCAAAACTAGTGAAGATGGTATCCGAGTAAGTATACTATTGAAATGTACAAATTTTTTCTGTATAGTCCTAAGTGCAGAATAGAGCTTTTTCTACCAAAGCCCAAACAACATCTGTGTTCTAGAACTTACCCGCGTGTGGCGCAGTGGTCAGAGACGTCCTGCAACAAACACGTGGAATCGATCTCCGCGTCCATGGCCCCTTCCATGCGACCGGGTTCGCCAAATTGGTACCAGACTTGTCGGGGAAGATAGCAGCGCTAGCTGGATGCATCAGCAGACCACCGCGTGTCATTGTAAAGGCCAGATATGCTTCCAATTACCTCCAATCTATACCTAATGAAGTAGAATGCTTGGTGCATCCCTCAAGAATTGATCAACGCTGAAAGCTTTATCCTTTTTATCTTTTATGGGTTTTATGCCGTCCATTCCCCCAAAACCATTATGACGCTTATAGCTGTCATTTGGCACCAGTATTAGTTGACGTCGCAGAAATATAATGGGCTTGTTTGTATAATACTCTAGTTTGAACCAGAAATCGTGTTTGGCACAGAACGCTTCAATTCACTACGCGGCAGGCAGTGTGCGATAGCAATAACATATTATCAAACATCTCAAAAAATTTCGCGCACTAAGGATAGTGTACCTTTTCTTCGATGTACACCTCAAAGCCATTCTGCAATTTACATGGTCTCCTTAAAACCTCGTTGTTTTTAAATCATCTGAGTTCGTGCAGCGCACTGGTTAGGGTGCCCTATAATGCGCACGAAGATATTGGCTGGATCACGCGCTTTGGGTTCATCTAGCCCTCCCCATTCTACAGGGTGGGCAAATTGGTACCAGACTTGTCTGCGAGTGTGGCAGCATTGAACTGATATATCGATAGGCCACCGAAAGTCATTATATAGGTCAGACATGCATTCAATCACCGATGCTTGATGACGTATACAACAGAGACTGATCAATGCTGAAAGCTTTATTCTTTATCTTTTTCTTACATCATGTCTAAAATTTCTTGTTTCATTGTACTTTATTGTGCAAAGGTGTCTTAAATTTTCATTTTAACTGTGTTAAATCATGTTAACCATAAGATGTCAATGACGCCTTTGAGTAGAAAAAGTTGCATGTTGTCCTGAGCAAGTGTTCAGGATGGTTTATACTCGCCATGATTATCGTGATTTCACTGGGGACGGTCGTATCATCGATCATCATCGCTATTCAAAAGCGAGGCAGACTTGGTGAGAGGCTATCGAAGCGAGTGCTCAGGTGAGCTCCTATCCAGCTGCTCCTAATCAATCTCAAATCAACCCTAGTCGATCAAAACTCCACAATTTTGCTGTGAACATCTTCATTTTTCGGAGACTTACTTACGTCTATTTATGAAATCGCTAAGAAATTAAATGTTTCCATAATCTATAGTTTTTTTCTATAAGTGATGCTGTAATGGATACCAGAAATCATTAACAAGCCACTTGGAGTAGTCTGAACATCAGAGTGGAGCCACATCATCATCATCATCTTATCGCAAACTGCCTAGATTTTACTCGAATAATTATAATAAGTCGATTTTCTATAAACATCGTAGTTACTGAAGTTGAGTGGGGCATGGGGAATTCTACCAAAAAGTTAGACCGAAATCCTGGGAACGACCTACTCTTCGTTTGTTCAGCAGAGCCGGACTCCATACAAGAAAAAAGAGGAATGAAGGGACTGATTTTTTGAATATACGTCACTGATGAATTTAAAATATTTTGAAAAATTGTCTATTCAATAGTAACTAGCGTTTTCTTTTAGAATCGCTAAAATTCTCGCCTGTATCACATGTGCGACGGTGCCGCCACACATTGAAAAAGAACGATTTATGGTTGGTTCTCTCCCTCGTTATGACTTCTCCTAAGTGATCATTTTGGTCAGCATTCCGACCGAGTCTCTCGGTGAATCTAAACAAGCCTATGAATTGTTGTTGCTGAACATCTAGCTCATGTGGGGAATTTATACAGTTGTCTGTGAGAATTCTACCATAATATGATGTTATAAAAAGCGAAAAAAATAGCAAAAGTAAAAAATAGGTGCGGCACAGTACAGTGGTAGTGATGTCCGTCGTCACGAGTATGGTACTAGTTCAATTCCGCCTTAGGCCAACTAAGCCTCTCATCCCTCCGTGGTCAGGAAATTGGTGCCGGACTTCTCCTGAAAGAAATCTTACTTACTTGAGTACTTGAGTGGCCCGTCCTCGCTGATTCTGCGGGCTCCAGCATATTCTCCATTTTTCGGAGATTTGCTGGTTAAGCCACTTTCTTCTTCTGAAGTCTCGAGGTCAGCCTGGCCAAAGTCTGCCCTATGTTATCACCACCACAGGCAGTCATCGTACTTGTGGATCAGAGGGAGATTTGCCACCATGCGACTTTGATACCAGAACGGTGGTGGATTCTGGTATTAGTTTGCTCTTAGCTAAGCTTCCATGGAAGAACCGGACTCCTTTTCAGCTTAGGAGACCCTCCCAGAGTATGAATCTTCTGCTGTACAAACTTCTGTGAAGCACCCAGAAACACCTCCTAGCCATGATAAAGCAGTGGACCGTTGGGAAGAGGAAAGCCGGAAAGAAACCACTCCCTGCGACCCAATAGGGAACGCTCCTGCCTCTCAAGACTCCAGAGAAAATCGACTCGACCAGCATTCCACGACATTCAAGATGCATTGAAAATCCTCAAGCAGCAGTCGAAGTCACACGTATGAAGTAACTCCCAAGTCCGACTTTCTGTTAATAGACCTCGGCATTGATTGAATATATCTTTCTACTTCTGTTCAGCAAACACGAGGTGCTATTTTATTTCTTTATTTACGCACAGGGTGACGTTTCGGCGGATTTCACCTTCCTCAGAGCCGTACACGTATGAGTTGGAAGATCTTCGTGCATGATAGATGCGTGGTAACGAATTGGATATGGAAAGTGCTGGAATCCGCGCAGTAGACGTGAAGAAGGGTCATATAAAAAATATGATGGGAAAAGTCTGATTTTAAACAGTCCATGTATTTTTGTATCGTTAAAAATTGCTAGTTTCCTATCATAACGGCCATATTGATTTGTCGAACATCCACAGATTTAAATGTTTCAGTGACCATAACTTATGTTGCTCCAGTAGTCGTACAGGTTCACCTATCTAAATATCATCCTCTCGAATAAAATAAGAGTGTATGTAGCGATATTTGAAAGTGATTGAGAAAAACGATGAGATATCAGGAAGCATTCGACGTGTCGATGCGAACAGCAGAGCTGGTAAAGCCGTCGAAGGCGACGACGGAGGCGTCAAAGAAGTGGATGCACCTACGACGTGCCAAAAGCGGTGTCGCCGTGGTCTCCAACAAGAGCACTGATCCCCACATACACACTGCGAGCCCTGCAACAGGTAATCGGTTTTAATGGATTTCATAACACATCCACTATTTTGGAAAACAAGTAGGCGTCCGTCTTATGAAAGTCGTTGCATCGAAGACACATGAATTTTTATTTCCAATATAGATATTGTCGTATCGTGCTACACTATCATTAGTCAAAACATTCTGGGTGGACGTTAGTTCATACTTTTCTAAGGAAAAGCAAGACTTCTATCTAAGAAACTCTGTTTAATAAATCCATAGATTGGCATTGTGAATTCAATTATATGATGTAATTCTCTCGAGCTTTGATCCACACCATCCGCACTTCTGAGGCCTGCTTGTCAAATAGTGCGGTTTCTTTCGCAACTCTTCAGACGTGTGTTCTTGATTGCACAGAGAGGTAAAATCTTGCGATGGTCTAATTATTACGCATCACCTGTTACCTGTCTTTCCGTTGACCGTCGAATGACTCGAACGAGCACTAGTAAAGACACATTGAGCACAAAATCGTTATTCTAGGGTTTTCGTGAAAAACTGTCACCATCGGATAGGTAACTTTTCTGCAGCACGTTTGATATCTCGAACAATCCAGTTAATAACGGCTCTTTTTCATTGGTTGTCGTTCAAACGCATTACACGATCGGTCTACCTTATTTGCGACAATTTGGCATGCAAAACGGCGTCATTGAATTTTCATCGTTCGAGTAGGTCTGGGCTTCCGATCCTTTCCTTCACTTGCATGTATGGCACACGTAGCATCGTCCTTTCGACTGCACGCTCGAGAACGTTGAGTGGTCTTTCATCATATTTACGTAGCGACCAGGTTTCTGGCGCATTCGTTAAGAGAGGATGCACCGTTGAGTCGAAAAAGTGGGTACAGAGTAGGGTGTTCTTTGTTTTCGTTTTCTTCACTACATGCTCGATGCTCTTGAAAGCTACCCAAACTGCTCTTTTCCTCCTGCTCAACGGCGGAGCTAAGCCGCTCATAATGTAGACTTGCTGAGCTAGATAGACGTAGCCGAGCGGACAAAGACTTTTATTCCGTTGAACGCTAATGGGGTATAGGAAAGCAATCCATGCGTGCGTTGGTATGTACTCTTTTGCGCAAATTCTATCTTAAAAGTCATTTCGGTCAAGAGCCTGTCATCAAGTGGAAGTGAAGTACATGGAAGGTGGTTAAGTGTTGCACACAAAATTTCAGAAAGTTACTCGCGAGTACATCTCTTATACAAAAGCTGCGCCAAGCTGCCCGAGGGTATCTCTAACAATTGGCCATTCACATTATTCACATAACCCTAAAAGAATCCTCATTGGGCAGCGTTGGGTAGGACGGATACAGAGATGCTGCTTAAGTCTCAGAAGCATTCAGTTATGCTTCAACCTGGAATAACTAAGGTAACAATCTGCACTTATGCACACTTGAATTTAAATCCACCATTAAGGATGTGGCAATCCAGGCTGAGATGGGTTAGCTATGATGTAACTGGATTAGCTGAGACGAGTGTATATAGCCACTTAACGTCATCTACGAAACTGCTGGAAGACTGTTCCGCAGAATAATCGGCATTAGAGGAGTCAGCGGCGTTGAAATCCTTGGAAACACGAGAATGACCATAAACATCGACCACTTTTAATAATTATTGTTGTTTCTATTGCATGAAGGGAGCTTGTAGTTCAGTGGTCGGAGGCGCTCGACGATACACACAGAATCGATCCCCGCGCCTTGGACTCACCAAGTCTTCCATCCCTTCGGTGTCGGCGACTAGTAGCTGACTCATCTGTGAGAATAGCAGCACTGGCTCGATACATCGGTAAGCCATCGTAGATCACTGTGAAGGCCAGATATGCATTCAATCACCTCCATCCATGTTTAATAAAGTCGAATGCATGGAGAATCCCTCAGGAATTGATCTACACCGAAAGCTTCATCGTTCATCTTTCTTGATTACATAACCAGAAATCACTTGTGTCAAAATGTGTGGATCCCAGCACTTCTTGTATTCGATTCGTTTTTTCGCATCCACCATCTTACGAAAGTCCTCGACCGCTTTTACATGAGACTTCGGGTGCTGCTTGAGGGTTTTTTCTTCTTCGGAACGAATTTCGTCGAATGCTGGCCGAATTAGTGCTTTCTGGAATTATGGGATAACCGTTCTAGGAAATTATTACGTTGAACAGACGGAACGAGGTTGTCCTAGACAAGTTTGCTATCAATCTTCCGGCTCTCGGAGGATGAGAAGCTCGGTGGACTCAAGGAGGCGTCGATCCAGTGCTTTTCTAGGTTGGGTCTCACTCGTAATAAACAAGACCAAAACCACGAAACTATCCGCTATCTTTGAGAAATTCACAACCTGAATCATAACTTACGAATCGATGGATGCGGAGCAGTATTGGCTTTAACAATCTCGATTGTCTAAGTGTGCGCTCTGTATGGACTTGGAGAAGTTTTACAAAGAAGGCAATACTTTGTAGGTCATTAGTGGCGATTTTAAGGTTAAGATTTTTATATTCAGGAAGGTTTTAACTCCGAGCACACGTGTTATCGTGGAGCAAAGAGGGCAGTGTGAGCTTACCATGGTGGTCAACCATACTAGCTCACAACTTTAGCAGTCACAGTCTCGACGGCGGTGGACAATGCAGTCCCTCAATGGATAACTAATTTGTTAACAATTAATCGAAACACTAAATAACTAAATTGACCACATCATAGTAAGTGCAAGGTTTTCTTTAATGTCGATGTCTATGTTGTCCCAAAATTTTACACGGCTTCAGTCCATCACCACGTTGGCACGAGATCCTTTTGAACTATTTGGGAGAGAAAGACGCGAAATTCAAGAAACAAATTCCCGAAACCATCAGAAATTGGAGTTCACTAGTCTACTTTTGGGAGAGGGTTTACAAAACCTTGATGAAGAATACAGCTAACTTATTTAACAGTTTCACACTGCTGCTTAAATAACCGAGATCTGGAGAATCACAAAGAAACACCTCTAACAAGAAATCCTGGAGCTAAGAAGCAAAGTGGAATCGCGCGAGCCGTAGGCAACCGCCAATTTGTGTTCGAACATGCAAGCTTGCTGTCTGTGTTCTATAAACTCTTCACTCGAGTCGTCCAGAACTTTGTTGATAGAATATTGGGCTTAGCAGAACCGTATGAGCAAGCAGGGCTTCTAAGTGAATTTTGAACGATAGATCACATCACACGATTATAAGACTAATTAGAGCATCGCGAATCTATTGAAGACCACCCTGTCTCGCCTTCTTCGCTTTAAAAAAGAGGCCATCGACTCACGTGCCGAAGTGCTCACGGATGATGCTGTGGATAGCCACGGCGTAGGTTCTCAGTATTTAGAGATCTATACACCAACTTAAAAACCGTTGTATCCCAACCATTACACAACTGTATTGTCACAACTACCTTCGAAAACGATATGGGAAAACTGAGAAGAGACAATAAGCGAGTGAAAAACTATGGTCGCCAAGTGTTTCATACTAGCTTAGCCAATATAGGTTTTATAACATCAAACGTCAGTTAGGTTGAACAGATGGTACCCGATTTCGACAAGCACTCCGGTGAGAAAGGATTATCTTCAACTGGATGTTTATAAAAATCTGATTCGTTTCTGATGTCCTATTCACACTCAACGGAATGAATATCCCCGAATGCTACATCGATTTGTATCTGGGTCTCGAGGACTCGGCATGATGGTCGCCTTAGCTCCGGAACAGAGGAGAACTATATGATTAGCTTGAGGAGCTTTTAAAACTGTACAGCATGTGGTAGACATTTTACCTTAACCTATGCGTTGGAAATGTGGTCGTTACACAAACAGAAAGAAGGGTCACTCAATGCAAGTAATCATGGGCCGGAGAGAACGATTCTAGGAGTATCCCGTATTACACAAATGAGAGACGGAATCCGTTATTCTGACGTGCGTCAAAAATCAAAAACTAAGGACGCCTTTCTATACCCAAACTGTCATAAATAAAGTGGGTCAGACACGAAATTCGTATGAAGACAATCGGTGGACAAGAGCCGTTAATGGCTGGATGATGTTTCGGAATGTCAATCCCACAGCAGGGAGACCGCCGACCCTATGTTCAGAGTTCTTCACGAAAGCCCTGAAAAAAAGTTCTGATTTTCAAAAAGTCTCTAAAACGAGCAAAAGTCACTGGGCCAGGTGTTATACGCGGTAGAGAAAAGTAGAAGATTTACTGGCATCCGCTCGAGCCACTCAATGATTAACGTTACTGATTCTGATGGTTTTAAGTCAAGAAACACATATTGGCACTTTGCCACATTAGTGCTGAAAAGTATTTGCTCTATTATATGCTGTCTTATCTTAAAATTAATCTAGGAAGGCGTTTTTCAAACAGTAACCGCGTGTGAACTTATCGTTTGCCAAATATTAAATCCAAAAAGAGGCTTCGTAGCGTTCCTTAGTGCCCCATTGGGCAGTCAAGGTATTCCTGCACAAAACGGAGCTCAGGTTAAAGTCCTGATTTTTGTGTGACTTCTTGTAGTCTATCGTTAAACATTATAATCTAAATTGAAAAAAGCAAGTGCTTCACTATGGTGTACAGTCCTACGGCAACCGTTCATGCCCATTATTCTACTGCTCGCTAATTTTCGCATGGTCCTGTTCAGAGAAGTCTACGGCCGTGATGCCGTTGCCCACGCTTCCTTCTAGAGATCTCTTCAACGACGATATACATAGCGATGGTTCGTCTCGACCCGCCACTGGAGATTTGCCGATACAAGCCGATAAGGGCAACGTGTTCCAGCAACTTAATAGTGAGTGAACAACTTTAGACACCATGCATGTGTCAATCCATTACATCTAGAGGAACATTTCAAAACAATACAGAAGTAGTTCCATTCTCAGTTGTTTATAACATGGCTAAATCGTTCAATTTCGTCTTATTTTCCTTTGTGAGATGTCAAAAGCACAAAATTATCAAAAAAAACCGCATCGGAAAAAGACGAAGTGCTCAGCGTGGAAAAATATTTCCTCAGCTCTTTGTGGCCTAGATTCCTTCATAGTTAATAGGTAGTGAGGCTAATTGGATGTGAAATCCTTCGCCTGCAGCGTTAGACGTTAAAAACTAGTCATTGTCTTCGCTACATAATGCCAGTCCTAGTTTTACTAAAGTGCTCTGACTTTAGACCTATGTTTCACCTGTTTGACAGAAAGATGTGGGTTTGAGGAAAAAAAAACTGGAACCTAGTAGGAAATAGCATTACTAGAAACAGTTCATGCAGTTTTAAGTCGAACATGATTGCTACGTGGGAACCTGCGACGAAATTTCCGTTTTTGCAACTTTAATGATCTCTCTTTTTCTGGAAGATCCTAATTTTACCATTAATTTTCTGAATGGGAACTTAGTCAAGAGTAGACGAATTTGTGGTTACCGGAAATGCAGAGATGTTCTACAGTGTGTTCCTCCAAATCCATGTCCCTTATTTTCTTTTAAAATTACCAAAATGTAATAGAATACGTCAGTGGTGGGTTAGAGAACCCCTTTCTGAATTCGAGTACTAGTGACAGCATGCGATCGCTTCAGCGCCCGTCCGGCAGAACAGACAACTGGCGTTAGCGGAATTCGAATGGCTGGCGAGTGTGGTGGAGCGAAGCTGCTTCGTGATCTTCGTGCTTTGTTTCCTTGTCATCACCGTGGGAATCAATTTCGTTGGATTCATACACTGGTACTCGGCCGGCCTTGAACATTACGGCCGTTGATTTCATTTCCATATCCTATTCACCAAACTCATTTTTATTCATACAGTATTCTTTCATTCTCATATCGTTATAACGGATATTCAACGCTAACAGCAGAAACGGCCATAACAGCCGTATTGGTCAAATAGCGTTTGTAATCGATACAGGTGGTTTGCACGTCCAAGTAAGAAGGCTCTCCTATCGCTCGTTTGAAATACAAAAATCGAATGAAAAAACAATATAAGGAGTTTATATCGTCGTTTGAGAAAGACATGGTCTTCCATGATATTCTAGTGAAGTACGAATCACTTACGTCAAAGCAATTTTTCTGCTTCTATCGGCTCGAAAACAAGTTTCAATTACTTCGTAGTGACCTGAGTTCGAGAAATTTTTATCTGTTTTTCATAACTGTGTGCGCAATTTCTCACTGCCTTTAGTACAAACGACCAGCGCTGATTTACCTATTTCCCGACAACTTATTGAACGCATGAACATGATTTCCATTTATTCCTGTTGCTCTCTTTTCTCGTTCTTCTTGCTGATGATCAATTTCTTCGTGAACATCTCCCAGACAAAGTTATTCTGGTACGCTTGCGCGGCGCCTATCTGCGAATCACAAGCCGATCTCAAACACAAAGCAATTTCGCAGTTTTTTCACGCATGTTGTAAAACTCCTTCCTACTCATTTTTAATAAAGCTTTTGGATTCAAAAGATTGAAAAGTCTTATGAAAGGGTTGTTTCAAGACCCTCCGATTTTTTATTATATGGTGATATGCCGACTGATTTGCTGCTCCATGGGCTTACTTTTTAACAGATACAATTTGAATGTGAATTTTGACATTTTGGGACTACCTGATGCTCGTTCATAGAGAAAATCTTAAAAATATATGTGGATTGGCGAAAAAGATTATTGATGCTGAAATGTCTTTCTTAGCAATATTAGCGTTTTTTCTCGGCAAACTTTGAACAGTAATAATGGATATTACTTCGAGCTGTACTTAGAAACCAGACAAAGTGAAATGGAGAAGTGGAAGAGGGGCAGGAGCGATGAAACCGTTTAAAACGCGCATTTAACAACAAAATCCCGAAATCCAGCAGACGCGTCGCAGCACGCGGAAGTCGTGTGCGAATCGTGCGATCGCGAAAAATGCAGAAAACGCGGAATTAAGCGCGGAAAACGTAGCTGCGGTGCCGTACTTGATGGTTTTCATGAAACGCGGCACTTTGGAGAGATTTTGTTTTCTCAAGCACAGTATAAAAGTAGATATTGATCATTTTTCTCATTTTGCTGAACAGCTTAGTGCAACGCCGATTTCCGGCTGACTTCGTTGGGATCCGATTTTCTCTGCACCTCTCAACGCTTTACCGCCTCACCGTGACTGAGTTGCTCCTGGGTGTCGGACTTCGATGTACAGCGGAGGATTCATTTTCCCCAGCAGGGTCTCCCAACCTGAGGAGTCCGGCGTTTCCATCAGGAAGCCTAGCTAAGAGTAAACCAGTACTAGGATCCACCACCGTCCTGGTATCAAACGAGTCGCATGGTGGCAAATCTCCCTCTGACCCACAAGGGCTGCGACTGTCTGTGGTGCTAAGGACCTGGGGCAGACTTTAGCCAAGGCGACCTCGGGATTCCAGGAAACCATAATGGCTTAACTAACAAATCTCCGAAAAATGGAGATTATGCTGGAGCCCGCACAACTAGTGAGGACGGGCCGTTCAAGTATCAAGTAAGTATCAAGTTCACGTTCTGCACCATTGCTGACATTAGTCATCGTGGCACTGATTCAATGCCTTGACTAAGCTATTTCTATGTTGTTATCTGGCCATGAATTTCACGACTCTTCATTGGGATTGTTATTGCTTTTTTTTCCTTCCTTGTCTAAACTGTTTTAATGCGCTCACTCAACTAGTGTTTCAGTTTTATGTACTTATGTGCTGTACGGCTCTAAATTTCACTCATGACCAACTCCCTTTTCGTCGTCATCACTTTCGTTGTCGTCATCGTCACTCCCTCCAAAGCAGATGTCGGTACGTACGAGTTTTTAGTTTTGTGATGGAAACTTTTAACGCCCAATCAAAATTACTTACCCAATTTTTAGTCCACTTATGTAAAATGGTTTGCATTTTTCTAACGAAAACTGCATCTATAATCGAATTATAGTGTTTTCTCTAAATAGGAAGGAAAACTAGACGAAACAACTACGCCGTTCCTTATGTATCGTAGCCTTCACCTGCATCTGATAGAACATTGTTATTTGGCCGATGATAAAGGAAGTACTCCCTTTCAGATTTTCAAATAATAGTGGTTAGAAATCAATAGATTAGTAGTTCTTTTATTAACATAGCTAAGTCCATTTACAGTACGGGGAACCCTACACCAGGACAAAAACAGTTGTGCTATCTTGTTTGTATGAGCAATTTGCTAAAACTGGAACAGTGTATTCATTTATTCAGTTGTTCATGGAATTTCATTGTTCGATTAAAAAGCGAGCCTAGGGTGGGTATTGTCCACAATATGGGCATCGATCGATTGTTTGTCTTCCTTGATCAATACTGATGTTTTCAATAAGGTCACAAGAGAACTTTTTCTTAAAACGTTTCCAGGATGTGTCGCTAAATACCAACTAATCGATTCTTTTGTGTCTGTCGCGACTTTTTCTCTGTGTAGAAAAAGCTGACTGCTTTTACTCCTTTTTCCTTTCTTATAAAAACTTATTGTCGCCTTTTCTTATTCTCCTACTCCATAAAACAGCTTATTCCTGACTCGAGTACGTGAATGAATAAAAAGTGTTGAAGTCTCTAGTGGATGAACTTCTTGCCAACAGCTCTCATAGCAACTTGACAATGGAGAACGTGCCTCTTGTGCGACTCACGAGAGATCTGCTGGCGAGGGATCGGTACGTCGACATTCACCCATTCATCCATTTTGAATCTGCCACATATTTTCTTTTGTTGGATGATTGATGGTTGCAGATACGATGTCCGCGTTCGACCAATTCTTGATCATTCCAAGTCTCTCAGAATTCATGTCAGTATTTCCCTCTATCAGATCATCGAAGTGGTGAGTTTAACACGACGAAAAAGTGCTTAGTATTTATGAAAATAGAAAGATAAGTCGACTGGGTACCATTTGTAGCAAATAAATTGGTTGAAGGAATTTTTTTTACTTTTTCCAAATAAACTAATTTTCTCGTTGTACGATGAAGAAAGAGTTTAGGAATGGTTTGGGCGGATAAATACCATGTTATAAATGGTTGAGCTTTTGGAGAGAATTCTATCCATCGAACGCAAATAATTTGTTAAAGCTCTAAAAAGTAGAAGGTAAAGATTTAAAAAACATAGTGCATAAGAAATTAATAGATAAGTCAGTAGTAGTGGGTAAGGAACACCCGCGTCCCTCAAACTATCGCTATGGAAAAAGCCGACACCGAATTGTCCGTGCTTATGAGAGGCGTTTGTAGACCAAGGTCTTATTTTTACCTCAGACAAGTCGGAGTCGATCGTACTTGCCGTTGTACGGAACTCTCAACATCTTCGAAAGTTATTCAGCATTGCAGATGCATGGCGGAGTGCTACGAGGACGTTGATTCGAAATTCCAACGGTCCTAGCCCTTTTTTTCGTCGTAGTTTTCCAGTTAATTAATGGTTTCTTTAAAAGGAAAATTGCTTTTCACTTCACTCACTGATGACTTAAGCACTCGAAAAACTCTCTTAACCGTTAAGCGACGAAGCAGGTTTTTCTTAAGTACGCCATAATTTCTCCATTAATAGAGCAGTGGAAGAATGGATAGCTTTGCAGACTTATAGAACAGACTTTTCTCTATCGCACTGAGAGTTTACTTGATTTTCATTAAATGTTCTTTCAGTTGTAATTTTTTTTAGGATTGGGATTCTCAAGAAACCAAATGTGAAACTAATTCTTAAGTTTTTAAAATTTCCAATGCAAAAGCAGCAGCTGCAAAACATTGGGAAACACCATCGCGTCCTATTGGATGAAATCGCATTTTGGAAACAGAAGTCTTGAAGCAAAAGAAGGTAGAAGTATCTTTAAGAATCACTGGAACATCACTGGCTTTAAGAAATCGGGACTTTACAATGTTCAATAAAATATCTCCGAATCTCCTGTTGGCTACGGGCGAGGCAAGGTGGCGCGTCCCCAGGTAGCGGATGGGGAGTTAATCGCGGACCAAAAGCGACCTATGCTTCTCTGAGATGCAGGTGGATCCAGCTGATGGACTTCATGTTTCTGCTTCGCCGATTTGGCACTATTTACGAGGACGTATTCATTCACGCATGCATCCATAGATGCGTACTGGTTTATTCGGATTGTGTTCTACGAGTCAGTTCCGCCAAAAGCCTGCAATCAAGTGATAGAGAAGTATGCCGGAGGCGCTTCGGAGTGGCTTCCAACAAATTAGCTCTATTTCTACTCTGGTAGAGGATGGAAATGCAGAGATGTTTTACAGTGTCTTCCACCAAATCCGTGTTCCCTATTTTTTTTTTTTTTTGAAATTACCAAAATGTAATAGAATACGTCTGTGGTCTGCACCTATGAGCATACCCACCCCTCTTCACGTTCAGAGCTTCGAAAGCTACACGTGGGTATCAAAAAGCTAAGCACAGTAAAATAAACGGGCCTCATACTCTCTTGCCTCCGAGGAAGCTCCCTATTCGGTATCGCTGAGTAGGACGAGTGCTGAGAGCCAGCTAAAATCGGCTATTCTTGGCTACCATGATCTCGAAGGACTAACTTGACGATGTGTCTTTACAATGGACGCACACTTGCATCTGAGTCCTCGATAGAAGACTTGACCGTGCAAGCAAGAAGTATAAAGTACGACGTCATCAGACCGGCTTACGCACCGACATAATGTTAAGACGAAAAAGAATTCGAAGCGTTCTATATGAACCTGGAGAAGTTCTACAGAGGAGACCATGCATTCTTCAAAGTCATAATTGGAAATTTTAACGCTAAAATTGCACCTAAAATAACGTCTGAGGAATGTGACATTGCGAACCACGGATTAGAATTGAACGAGCAGAGAAGACGGTTGCCTGAGTTTATAATAACGACCAAGACCATTTACGTTAACCCGTAATACTAGGAGCCGTACTCTCAACGCTGGACGAGGGAGTCTCCCAATGGAGAGTACCGCAACGAAATGGACCACATACTAGTAAATCGAAGGTTTTGCCTGGCCGAAGTTGCCGTTTTCCCAAAATTCTACACAGGATTAGACCAAAGCGTCCTTCATACGAGATTACATTTTTCATAGAAAAGAGAGAAGGCTGCTAAATTTGAAAGACGAAGTGCCCAGTACACCATAAACTGGAGTCTATTCAGTTTATTAGTGGACTGCTGGAAAGGTACCGTTCTCGGTGACATCGACGAGGAATACGATCGGCTCATTGAATATTTTATAGCTAACGCTATGAAGGATGAAAGTTCGAAAGTCATCAAGAGACATTTGTCTCCAGAAACACTAGAGCTGCCAGGCAGAGTCATGCAAGCTATATGCATTCCCCAGCTCTCGTTCGAACTAGCAAAACAATGCAAGCAGGCGATAAATAAAGATCTTAAAGAAAGAAGAGCAGCAGTTATGGTCGAAGCTACAGAGGCTGGGAAAAGCGTTCCAAAAGCCCATAGAAGCTTAGCAAATTGGAAAACGAAGATGATTGCACTCCGACGCCCAGACGGAACAGTTACAGCCTCTAGAAAGGGTGTGCAGAAAATTCACCATTATTACTCGGATCTCTGCAATAGCCACGTTTTCCTGCTTTTGTTTGAAATAAAGGAGGATAAATATGTCGTCCCACCAGTTCTCTCTTCCGAAATCCAAGGTACTGTTTCGTCGGCGAAAAGTGAACAGCATCAGGTTAGGACAGGATAAGATCTGAACATTTGAAAAACGTTCCGCCAGACCTCACGAACGCACTGGCTCGACTCTTCGCATATTGACTATCAGAATGCAAGGTTCCTAGCAAGTGGAAGACCAGCGAAACCGTGTTGTTGTTCAAGAACGGCGACCTCCACGTTATCGGCAACTATGGCCCAATCTACTTATATTCTGTCGTCTACAAACTTTCCACTCGACTCATCATTAATATGATTGACAGAACACTAGTGAAAAGACAGTATTTAAAAAAAGGAAGTAGACAGGCTGGTCTTTCTTCTACTGAATCTTACAGAGACCTTGTTTATGACGAGCAGATTGATTTCATATCTTCCATTCACGCTCATAGGGACCAGTATCTTACAGTGCTCCAGTATCGTTTATCTTTGCTGAGAAACCAAAATAATGAACGACGTAGACCTAGAGTTGAGCAAGAAGAACCGAGCGGCTTGACGAGCTTTCAAGATTATCAAGGGCGCAGTGAAGAGAAAAAGGAACATCCTAGTCCGTGCCCACCTTTTCGGCAGCACAATACTTCCTGCCTTAACGTATGCGTCAGAAAACTGATCGCTGCGTAAGCAGAATGAAAGGTACCACAACGTTATTGAACGTGAATTCGGTAGGACGATCCCTAGAAGTATCCCGTTTCACGCAAGTGAAGGAAGAAACTTCGATCAACTTCAACGATTAAAAATTGAAGACTCCGTTCTATGCACCAAACTTTCGAAGACAAGGTGAGTAGGATACGTAATTTTGCATCAACGACAGCCGATGGACAGGAGCCACAAGTGACTTAGCTCCTCGGGATGTCAAACATGCTGCAGGAAAACCATCTACTTGATGGTGACAGCTCTTTAGAAAAACCTTAGAAGAAAGATTTGGTGCTCAACGACTCGCTAGAGCAAGCAGAACCTACTGGGTTACTCTTACACACGACAGGATTTACTGGCGCTCGCTAGAGTCACTATACGATCAGCGGCACGACGGGTGATCCAGGGAAGATAATGCAACAAAAGGGTAGATTTCTTTCAGGTAAGTATCTGTAGATTCTAAAGGATTTTATTAAATCTAGTAAAGTTCATTACAAGCCGAAACATATTGGTTTGAAATTGAAAGCAGCCGTTATTTTCTAATCGTGTGACTCCTATACAGACGGCGTCATCGCTTAAGCGACAAGTAGTAAGCACCCATATCGGATTTGGTGCTTCCCTGTTCTTCGTGAATTAAAATACTTTTCATTAATTTGCAGTCGCATCCTTTCCCCATTTCGTTACGCTTGCTGTGCACCGTTTCTACTTCACTGGTGCTTTTGGGAAAAATGACAATATCTCAGGCAAAGTGAAGTTTTAATATAAAGTTTTCAACTGTATGAATTACCATTTCATCGATTAGAACGACTTCGCGAAGCCACAGGAACGTGGCAGTGAGCTCACACGCTTAAAATAACACATTTCTCCTACTTGTGTGGGATCAACTACGGCCGCAAAGACTTGTCTTTTTTCGTCCTCATCAAGATGTTGACTGCCGGTGGGACGTGGCTTTTTGGGGTCCCTCAATTTTCATCCTAGAATATTTTAAATCTTTTACTACGTACAACCGCTGGCTCTTGCGCAGTGAGGTCTGCTAAATTTCGCCAAGAATTCTTGGAATACGGCAGCGATTTCTGTGAATAATCGACCAACCGCTCAAGAGCGATGTAGTAGGTTGAATGTAATAAATAGTGAAACTAAATGGGTCTCCGTTTTAATTATATAATACACAATTATTGCGTTCAGTAAAGCCACAAAACTGACTAATTGATTCGAACTGCATGAGAACAATACTTGAAAGGCAAACGTCACAACATCCGAAAGGTTACAGTAGTAGGTCTGTTTCTTAAAAACAATATAATAGTGTAGGCAAACCGCAATATAGTAATAAATAGATGTTAGAACGGCTATTAATTTGGAATATTTGGTAGTTAGCTGGCCAAGAGATGCACTTGAATATTCGTCTTCTTGTAGGATGAGCCATCACAAAACATCAAGCTAAACGTGTGGATGATACAAAAGTGGCGTGACGAGTTTTTGTCGTGGAATCCGCAAGACTACGGTATGATCAATTCAACGATTATTCCGTTCAAATATCTTTGGATTCCTGACACCTACCTCTATAACAGGTATTCTTTTCAACTCAGTATACCGTTTCGTTCTATTATAATCTTTTCCTTCACACGCATGGTTTTTTTTTGTTCATTTTTTTCTCCATTCATTATAAAGTAACTTCTTTCATTAAAGTTTGTAAGTCATGCGTCGATTGTCATAAAACATGTGACCCCTTCATGTGTACTTCATAACCCCGAATTCACGTTTGAAAATTTATATATTTCTTTGTTGTGTCCTAAAGGATGGGCTTTAGTAGTTTCAATCAAAGCCGTAATTATATAGGGTTTACCGCACACTTTGATATCGCTTGACTCCAGGTTCATTAACTTTTCACTTAATTTTACTGGTTTTAAACATATGCGTCTAGAAGCTCATCATAATTAAACTAACACCGCTTAGCACTCCCGATACGGTAGCAGTTTTTTCGTATTAAAATAAATTGGCAAGCCTACGTCGGATGAGCAAGTGTGGAAACCGCCTTGCTGGACTTTTGTTTAAACAAGCATTCCACTTCTACGAAATCCGTTTTTTAATAAGAGTGAAATTACTACGGAATATGGGAATCATGCACGAATTTTCCCTAACCTAGTAAACAGAAGATGTGCTGATCTCTTTACACTTGGCCGTTCCATCTTTGACCTGACCACTCACTCTTTCGTTTGGAGGATCTAACAGGTCGTTAATGGAAAAGGCCATTTATCAACACCCCAGAAACAAGGTAACCAATGATTTCATGAAAAACAGCTTCCTAATAAATCTCTTTTCGTACGTTATTGCCAGACCTGAGTAAAAGACATCAATGTTTTCCAAAGAGATCTTCGGTGAAATAGCACAAATGGTATCGCAACCACCAAGGTGTTTTTTAAGACAAAATGAAGTGAAGGATAATAACACGCTTAGTATGACAGGGAGAAATTCTAGCTGCAAAAGCCTCTTAAAGAAGGATTTACAACGCTACAACCAAAAGAACGTCTTAGAAGCAGCTCAACCAGGAACTTCATGGACATAAAGTGCATCTAATGGCTTTTGTTTTCGTTCCACAGCCTTTGTTTCAGGGGCTGAAATTTTACTTGTTGAAAAAACACACCGAGTTATTCTCCTTAGAGTGGTAAAAGAACAATTACAACTTTAACGTTAGGCAACGTTACAACCGTCTTCACCTGATGATCATGCGTCAACCAATCCGTCATCATTTAAGGTTAGACAGATCATCAGCTGTGTAGAAGGGCCAACGGATAGAATAACCTGGTTTTTAAGCCTGATACTTACCCACATGCTTAACCACATTCCAGCTCACCTCACGAACACCCAAATGTTCCTAGAACGTCTACGTAACGCGTCTCCTAATAACGCGTACGTGATGGAGTCTTTCGCCGTTACCGCACTGTACACCATCGTGTCGAATGACTCCGCAATGCAAGACATCTTCGAACTTCCTGTTGAACATGAAGGAAGAATAAATATGCATGGCTTGCTCATCCAGCAGCTAATGGCTCTCTTAAAGAAGTGCCTAAACTGCTCGATTTTCAGATGGTCCGGGAAATATTTCGCGCAAATAAGGGGGTTGGCAATGGGACAGCGACTGGCACCAAGCCTTGCCAATTGTGTATATGTCTAAGATAGAAGCCCCTGTTCTCGATCTCCGGCCACTATTCTACGGCAGATACATAGATGACTGTTTTATCATTTTCTCTACTCAAGAGGAGATGGACAAATGCTTTGAGTTATTGAATGAGCAGTCTGAGTACATAAAGTTCACCCGGGAGAAACCGAGAAAAAACTGGCTTCCGTTTTTGGATGTTCAAATAAACTTATCAAGTAGCGGTTACCTGACAAAGTAGTATCGAAAGCCAAGTAAGAAGAACATCCTTGTTCATTTCCTTTCTTCCCACCCTTCACACACAAAGAGGGCGATTGTGAGAAACATGTTTCGAACAGCCACTTCTGTGTGCACTACCAGGGAACTAAAGGAAGAATCGCGTGAAACCAAAATCTTAGGGCCAATGGAAGCTGCTTGGATTTAAAGAACTATGGTGACGATCTGTACCTACAATGCACGTACACTTGCATCCGAGCCCTCGATAGAAGACTTGCTCATGCAAGCAAGAGGGGTAAAGCACGACGTCATCGGCCTGGCCGAGACGAGAAGACACCAGCCTTTTAACGCCGTCTATGACACCGGAGAAGAACTGTTCCTCGGAACATGCGACAGTAGAGGAGTCGGCGCTCTCGTCAACACGAGTTTGTCCATGAACATCGATTCATTCGAACAACTAACAACCCGGATTGGACGTTTATGATTGAAGAGAACTAGGCCACCATCGGCTCTAACAATCTTCATCGTTTACGCGCCGACGTCAAACTATGACGAAGAAGATGTCGAAGCGTTCTATATAGACTTGGCGAAGCTCCGCAACGAAGACCATACATTCTGCAGGTCCATCATTAGAGAATTTAACGCTAAGATTGAACTAAGAAAAACGTCTGAAGAACGTCACATTGGCAGTCACGGATTAGAATGGAACGAGCAGGTTTAGGGAAGATGCTGTTGTCGTTTACATCGGCGAAGAATACGATCGTCGTATTCAACATCTTCACCTTAGCGTTGTGAAAGCTGAGAGTTCGAATGTCACCAAGAGACGTCTGTCGCCAGAAACTCCTGAGCCGACACGCCAGCATGGAATCGCACGAGCTGCAGGCAACCGCGAACTAACGTCCAAACATGCAAAACAATGCAGACAAGCGTTAAAAGAAGATCTTAAAAAGAGAAGAGCAGCAGTAATGGTCAAAGCTGCAGAGTCTGGGAAAAGCATTCACAAAGCCTGGCGAAGCTTCGCCAATTACAAAACCAAATTGACTGCACTCCGGCGCCCAGACAGAACAGTTGCCCAAAGAGGCAATGGAGAAAATCATCCACGAATACTACTCGGATCTTTCCGATAGCCACGTCCGTCTTCGGTCATATGAAATAAGGGAGGATGGATATGTTGTACTACTGGTTCTACCTTCCAAAATCCGATATGCCATTTCGTCGATGAAAAATCGAACAGCACCATGGACAGGAAAGACCAAAACACTTAAAGATCCTTCCGCCAGTCCTCGTAAACACATTGGCTCGGCCCTTCACACGTTATCTGTTTGAATGGAAGGTCCCTACTCAATGGTTGACGACTTTGATAAAGCCTGTGGAAAGATTGGTCTTCGACTAAATCGTACAAAAACGATGTTCATGAAGAACGGATTGGTTTCGCATGCCCCATTCACGCTCAACGGGCCGAATATCTCCGAGTGCTCCAGTTATATCTATCTAGGTCGGGAAATCAATATGATGAACGATCTAGCTCCAGAGGTGGGCAGAAGAAAACGAGCAGCTTGGAGAGCTTTCAAGAGCATCGAGGATATAGTGAAGAGTACAAAAAGCATCCGACTCCGTGCCCACCTTTTCGACTCGACGGTACTTCCTGCCCTAACGTATGCGTCAGAAACCTGGTCGCTGCGTAAGCAGAATGAGTCGTCACTCAGCGTTATCGAACGCGCAGTGGAAAGGACAATCCTAGAAGTATCTCGTTTCACACAAGTAAAGGATGGGATCCGAAGCTCCGACCTGCGTCAACGATCGAAAATCAAGGATGCCGTTTTGTACGCCAAACAGTCGAAGACAAGGTGGGTTGGATATGTAATGTGTATGAATGACAACCGATGGGCAAGTGTCGTTAGTGACTGGATTCCCGGGATGTCAAACGCATTGCAGGAAGACCACCGCCTCGATGGTCAAACTTCACGAAGAGCCTAGAAGAAAGATATGATACTCAACAAATCCTTAGGACGAACAGATCCCACTGGGCTACTCTTGCACACGACAGGGAAAAATCGAAGATTTAGTGGCGCCCGCTCGAGTCACTCGACGACCAATGGGACTACGGATTATACAGGTGATATTTCGAATTTGCAAAACCATTATCTTTTCGAGAAGTGCCAGTGAAGCATAGATGATGGGTAGAATGTTAAACGAAACAGCGTGAAGTACGAGAGTGCGAATTAATTTAAATAAAACGCGGGTAAAGATGAGACCGCGACTAAATCAGTATAAAAGCACTGTGTAAAATGGAACAAATTAGGAAGGCAGTTATAGAGGGCACATCCAACATTTTTCTGAGGGGCTCTGGAAACCCAGGTAGTAATTGTGGCGAAGACGACGGACGGCTTCTCGTTAGTTTTCGTCAGCATTTGCCACATTTTAAACTTTAGTAATTAAACCACTGGCTTGGTGGGCAGTAGTAGAATAGCTAACAAGTTGAATTAACAATGATACAAAACATTATTCAGCTAGCTTACGAGAGTATGAAATATAATTTTAACTTATTATTTACTGCCTCTTCTTTTTAACGGCAGGGTATATTGCGAAATATAACTTTCAATGATGCTGAGATATTTATAAAACTCGGGACCGCAGGTGTCTGCGATGGGAAAGGAACGCGGTATTGTTCTTTCCTGGGAGTAACGCATTCACCACCTCACCATACGCATCCTTCATTTCGCCTTTCTTTCAGCTAGTTCCCTATCTAACAGTGCCATCAGCAAACACTCGTCAACGGGGTTGATCTGCGGAGTCCACATCAGGATTGAAACCAGTTAAGCTGAGGCTGCAGTTATAATCACAATTTTAACTTATTATTTACTGCCTATTCTTTTTAATGGCAGCGTATATTGCTTAACTGGGTTCGTTGCCGATTTGGGCCCTCCAGATCAATCCCGCCGATGGGTGAGTGCAGGCGAAACGAAGGACCCGCATGGTGTGGTGGTAAACGCGTTACTCCCCGGAAAGAGTAACAGCGCGTTCGTTCCCTACCGCAGACACCTGCGGTCCAGAGTTTTGCAAATATCTCAGCATCATTGAAAGTATGAGGCATAGTTAAGAGGTATGTGTTTGTGTTGCAGCGGGTTCCTTACGGAATCCTCAGTGATAAGCCACTCTTGGTTTTTCGGTTCCAGTGTTTCTGCCCGAAATTTTTTTACTGAGATGTGAATCACATGCGACTTTCTGCTATTACAAAATTAAAGGGTAAAAAAATGTTGCTTTTGCATAGCGAGTGCTAGCCGCTCTATTTTACGCTATATAAGTACTGTACCATTATCGGAACAGTTTTCGTCCCGATTACAGTCGGACTGTTTTGTAGCCGTTGTCAACATCAATACCAATTTATAAAAATCAAAGGAATTGAAGAAGTACTAGGACATTGTCATGACTTTTTTCCTGTTAGCTCTTTTAAAGACAATTTATATGATAGACAAAAACTGCAGCAAGAGTTTATACGGTCTTCTGTAGTCATAGAGAAAAGCTGAGTTGGGAAAGTTAATCAGTAATAAGCTTGATGATGACCATCGTCTTCCAGCGTCCTTTCCGCAAAATACATATGACGTTGATTTTAAATATTTTTTGAAGTAATGGAGAAAAACGCCCATCTGATAATGTGAAAACTGATGTAGAAGAGTGCGGAATTCATTATGTAACGATTTGCAGTGTGAAGATGAGCCGTGACGAGACGGAGCGCTACATGAACGTGCAGATCGAGTCGCAGTACTGGAAGGGTCTGAACGGCTCGCTGATGTCGTTCCTCTATCCAGCCATCTACACCGTCACCTGTCGCCTGAACATCAGGTCGGAGCGTTTTCAGTCCAGTCCGTCAGTGGAGCACATCCACACATTATTTTACTTTCTCATCGTTTTGTTTAAGAGCACAGATTCGTTCACTAGATGTTGAACGCTTCAGAGATGGTGTCTCATCGAAGAATTTCTAACACACTACGGTTACACACCTTTAGTACTTGTGTTTTATGAACAACATAAATGAAAAACTCCATACAGCACATGTCCTGTATTTCCCAACATTTATGGCTTTCCTGAAAAATCTAGAAGATTTACAGAAACAGACTTCACATAATCAATGATGAGAGCACGTCAACGAAGCGTGAAGAAGTGAAAAGCACTTGAGGAGTAGAAATTTCAGGAAGCATAACATAGTCATTTTACCATTCTTTGTAAGCGTAAATACCAAAACAAGCCTGAGTAGCTTTTTTGCTTTCTTATGCAGTGCATTTTATCAACTCTGAGCGCGCTTCCGAATGTCGATATTTCGGATTACAGACATTTATGACGATTTCAAGCTGCTGATCACTTCTGCATTCACAACTTCCTGTATACGTTGCCGTATTCGAAATTTCAGATTCTTCCCATACGATAGGCAGAACTGCACTTTAACAATATCGAGTTGGACGAACTCGAAGTCGGCACTCGACTACTATGCCGATGCCGAAGTGAATATGGCTTCCTATATTACAAATGAGGAATGGGATGTGAAGTCGTTCAAGATTTATCGACACGAGGTACAGTCGTCGCCAAAAGTGCGCAGTAACAGACATGTATGCGCCGTCCTGTGCTGCCTTTACTATTCTATACTGTACCATTTGTAGCTCCCAACAATTCAGTGTACCGAGTGCGCAGCAATAAAAGCTGTGATCGTCGTTTACGCTTAACAGAATTGCCTAGTTGAACACTATTGCTCAAAGAACGTACATTTTGCTCTTGAGCCTCTATTTATTGCTGTTGGCACATTGGTATCCACAAATATTCCTCACTGGCAGTCGTCAGCATTGAGAAAACCTCTGTCATCCTGCCATTTGGCTTCTTTCAAAATTGCGATATTTCCTAGCTTTCCAATATTGGTTTAGTCCTGAACTTTCTGACCCACGCAGCATTAGGACAATTTCCAAGACCAACTTTCTATTAGCCTCGGCATTGATGAAATAATTCACTGCTTCCATGGCGAGTAGACGCAAGCGTTTTAATAACATTTACCCAGTACAATACTGGCTGATGTTTTGGCGGTTTCGCCTTGAACCTGGGAGTTTCAAAGTGACGCGCAATCTACTCAGTGAAACACTTTCACAACCTCACAGATAAAACGTAATATATAAATGTTCGCTTGTTAATAGATGTTTAACTGAGTAGATTGCCTATCAATTTGACCCTTCTAGGCTCTGAAGAACGCGAGACCGCCGAAACACCAGTCAATATTGTAGTTACTAACAACTTCGTGTCTACTCATCAAGAGAACAGTGAAGTATTAGGGCAGTAAGTAATGTTATTGTTTTCTTTCCAAGGAATGAGTCTATCCATAATCGTTAATGTTCGTCTTCTTTTTTCCGTTTTTATTTCCATTTTGAGCGCTGTTATTCCTACTGCAAAGCATTGCTTTCAGCACAAGTACGCGTGTTGCTCGGAACCGTGGGCGATTCTACAGGCATCATTGGTGATTCAACGTAAACCTCTCTACTACGTTGTGAATCTGATAATTCCAACGTCTATCATAACCGTCGTGTCGATTACCGGCTTCTTCACACCGGCATCCACAGACGACGATCGTACTGAGAAAATCAATCTTGGTCGGTTTCGTAGTGGCACATAGTCACAGGTTTCTAAGGTTTCAATACAAACATGCCATTTGTACAATGCCTTGGTACTAAATAATAAGCGAGTGGCAAAGGACAAAGTCGCGATTCGTTACCAGGTTTTCTATCTGGATGATAGCCTTGCCTTTTAATTTAAAAGAAGGCTGCCAAAAATGCGAGTGCCCTTTTATGGCGGTTTTGAGTCTCGCTCAATCCATTCAATTCTCTTATGAGTTTCGTATTCGTTTTCTCAATTCATGCATTGATCGCCGTTTTAGAAAAAAAACGATACCGTGTGCCAGCTTCTATGAAAATGAAAGTTCCGACACATGAAAAATTCTCCGTCTTGGTAGGAAGAGCAGCTTTCGCTCAATATTAATTGGACCAACTGGCTTTTCCTATTACGAAGACACATCGCATGGATTATAACATTTTCCCGAACAAAAAAGCTGTAGGATGGAAAGTGACTGTATGGGTCCTTGCAGATGAAATCTTTTTCTGACGATTTCGATAAAACGTAACATCCACTTTCCAGTCACCGGACTGGAGTTTACATCTTCGACAATTTTAGGTTTTTTCGAGTGTTTTGGTGATGAATTTTAATTCAGTTCTGTCTCCTATCTGTTACATATTTCCTCATCTCTTACAGGAATCACCACACTGTTGGCTATGTCGATCTTAATGTTAATGGTATCAGACCAAATGCCAACCACCAGTGAATTTGTACCTCTAATCGGTACGATCGCTACTATTTTTCGAAAAACAGACTTTCTGTGAACCTCGGCATAGATAGTTGATATATTTATTTATGTGATCTTATAAACTGATCTTCTTAAGCTGACGCGAGGTTGGTAAAGATCTTCGTTGTCGTTGTCGTTGTTTTTGATGTTATTGATCGATGGCTGACGTTTCG